CCCTAAGTCACGGGCTGAGGGAGGCGCTGGACTTAGGCAAGCTCTCCTTGGCAGCGTTTTCCACCTCAGCCTGCACCGAGGACTTCAAGGCAGTCTTGCTCCTAGCTCCAAGCGCTCCCACACGTTCCCCACCTTGCTCAAGATGCTTGCTTGTTTGACCTTCAGCTCCTGCCAGTTGAAGCAGCAGGGGTGAATTAAGGCTATAAGTTCCACCTGCACGACTTTTTTACGCCCGTGTACCTTTGGTGCGCTCTGCTCCTCGACTCGCTGCAGTAGAGATGCTGCTTCAGCTTCATGACTTTTCAGAGCCTGCTCAGCCAAGCTGCCGGGAAAACAATTGTTCTACTTGTTGATACCAAAGCAACGTACGATGCTCCTCGAGATCTTTGGCAAACTCATCCTGGCGCACCAGAACATCTGGCTCTACACGGCGGGCTCTTCGATAGCTTAAGGCTGGGCCGACTGCTGGCCGTAGCTTTCGTAGGCTGCTGCAAGGATCACACATTCAACGCAACAATTCAGCCCGAAACCCTTTTCACAATGAACGCCGGCATCAACAATGCGATGCAAAGTGCATATCAGACACTCAGACACTTCAGAAGTTCACCCAAGACAAGCAGATAGTCAGACAGACACTGAGTGCACACTCCAGTCTAACCCAGAACAGAAAGATCAGATACTTAAGCTCACCCCAGGAAAGGCAGATTATTAGTCAAAAAGTCAAAGTGTATCCAAGAACTCTTACCCCAGAACAGGCAGACAGTTAGACGCTCAAGTTTATCCAAGAACTTTTCAAGTCCGGAGCACGCAGACGGACAGGCCAGACGCCAGACACTTGGACCGTCGAGTTTACGTCTGAATGTCTGTGTCTGAATGTCTGACTATCTGCTGTTATTTATACCCGTGAAGGCCAGTTCACATACAGTGGCTCCTGAAACTTCGGCACACCGAACTCAGCAAGCACATCCTCACTGTGCACACCTCAAGTGAATCTACCTTATTCCATTTTCGTCAGACATGTCCTGCTGCAGCTCGTTTTTGGCCGCTTCGATCTTCTGCATGCTTGCAGCACGCACCTGAACCCAAAAAGACACATTCACCCACTTTGCAGGCCAAGCACAAGGTGACTGCAAGTGACACCTGCTCGAACTCCAGTCGGAGCTCCGCCAAACGCTCCTTCTCTTTGGGAAGTCTCAGAACCAGCTGCAAGCTGCAGGTGTGCCATGGTGTAAGTACTGGTGTCACGCAGCTGTCACCACTATCCTTCTCCACACTGCAGGCAGCGGTGACGGCCTGGGACAAAAGAGCCAGCATCAGAAAAGTGGGAACAGAATTTGGGCACTGCGTGCAGTTGCATGCACCTGTGCCAGCGCACCTCTTGCTTTAGAGCAAGCTCTGCTCGTCGTACCCGGAGCTCACTCACCTCAACAGTCGATCTTGTCGTCGAGTGCTCATTTCAAGAACTATGCATTCTTGGAGACGGGCCTGCTCCCCCACCTCAAGATATCGCGCATGCAAGGGAGCAGATCTATATGCCTCCCTTGCCTTGAGCTCCTGATCTTTGGATGCAGAAGTTCGGAACTGCTGCGCCTGAGCCGCGGCTGCTGCGCCCGAATCCAGCAGTCAAGAGCAGCATCAAGTTGGGGGCCACTGCGGCCACTGCCTCCATGAGCTTCTGGTGCTCGGCTTTCTGCTCACTCATTGAGGTCTTCAGTGCTTGCGCAAGCACTTCCTGCATCGAAGCTAGGAAAGAGCGAGCAGACTGACCTAACCAAGCCAACAGCCCCGCAATCTTCCTAACGGTCCTGCTGAGCAGCATCAGCCAGCAGAGCCTCCAGCTCCTCAAGATTGGCTCGCACGTCTGGTTGGTGCTGTTAACTTGTCTTGCCCTTGCCCTGGCCCTGTCCTGACGCTGTCGGTCGAGCTGGTCCTCAACCTGCCGTGTTTTCCGAGCCTGCAAAGAAACGAAACAGTCTGCCAATGCCTTTACATTCGGAACTTTTGGACCATGGGGCGACATGGAAATGGGTACATTCCGACAAGACAAGTGACGAGTGACAGCACAAACCAGCACATCATGGCTTCCCGTTTCATGTGCTGACCTCAGCCTTTGCTGCCAACTTGGCAGACTCCAGGGAGGACCGGAGGTCAACCACCATCCTCAGTGAGCTCGCGAGTTCACACCGCCGACTCGGAGAGCTCTAGCAAGGGCCGGCAAGCCGCATGCCGCATACCCAGCCAGAGAAAATCCAGCTAAGCCTCCGCTCCAGCTCATCTTTCTTTGACCGAGCTTGCTGAGCCTGTACCTGCCGTATACTTCACTTTCAACGTGTGTAGTTGCTTAGGTGTATAACGCGCATATCGGAAAAAAACTCGCCTGCTTCTGTGGGGTCAGCTGCTGTGCTTCGGTGAGCTTTGCTAGCACTGCCTCGGCTTAAGACGAAGAAACATTTCGACATTTTCAGCCGTTTCCGACCAGAAATGACTTAAGACCACGGGTTCGATTCGGAATTGGAGTCCAGTCATGGGGCCTTTTGCTCCTCATCCTGCTGCTTCGACCTCACGCCCAAATCGAGTTCGGGCACTGGGAAGAAGGGGTGGATCCGCTATCGCACGTCTGCCGAGGTCAGCTCACTTCCTGGTGCTCTTCAAGCTCCGACTTCAGCTGCACGAAGCGCTGCAGAAGGGCTTCCTCCTCCGACAGAGAGGACGTCAGCTGCACAGCTGAATGATTGTCGCGCGGCCGTGGCGCGCACCTTCATGTCGCTTTCCATGGCTGCCCTGGCGCGTTCAGAAGTTTAGCTGCAACAGGGCAAGACGTAGTCCTTGGCACATGTCTCACCATGTTTTGCTGGTACCAGTGAAGACCCCCAAGGAGAAGGAATGGGTAATGAATGGAATCAGGCCGAAACGCAAGCTGGTGCCTCGCACCAGGATGCTCACGCCAAGAAGCCAAACCAAACGAGCTGCCCAAACCAGCCAACCCAAAGGCCATGAAGGGCAGACACAGAAGGCCGGGATTCGAGGGAGCCATCGGGGAGCCATGGTTCGAACTACGTGGCGCCTTTGCAGCCCATCCACGAACGACAGGGGCCCTTGTTTGGTCCTCAGGAGCCATGCAAAGGAGCCTCAAGGACTCCGAACCTACCCAGAAGGCTTGAACGGAGCCACGAACGCAGGGAGCCCAGTTTCGGCCCGGTGGCACACGAATCGTCCTGATGTGATGAGCCGAAGCCGGGGGACCAGTCGCACACCCCAAACTAGTAACGACTCTTCAAGATTCTAGCTGTATGTCATTCGATGTGTTCTTGTGGCTCCAATATTGTGGGGAGCCCACCTGGATGCAGAAGCACGAAGCTTCAAGGCAGCCGCCGAAGCACCTTTGCGACGTCAGGAGACCCTCTACGCGATTATTCCAGCTTAGAACCAAACGATGAATACACGTGAAGTTCACTACCAAAACCGATACGAGTTCCAGGAGCACTCTTGCAGACTCCCGCATTATGTGTACTGGCCAAAGGTCACTTTCGAGCACACGAAGCTCCTGACGGCTTGGGCTAGCTCTTCAAGGGAACTTCAAGGCATGAGCCCCAGAACATCCCCACAACCGCCTGAAGCTCGTAAGGAGTGGGTGCGCGATGGTGCGCTAGGCTGCGGCAGACTTCGCACGATGTATGAAGTGACCCGGCCACGGAAGGTGCACAAGACTGGGTGGCGCGATTTACGAGGCCAAGAATCTGGAGAGTACCTGCGGGAACTCAAAGCGAGGGAGTGAGTTCAACGCACCACCCATGTTTATGCGAGGCTAATCTCCCCCCTCAATGTAAGAAACCTGAGTAGTCCGAGTAGTGTGCGTGCACAGTGTTTGTGGAAGTCGTGTGCAAAGTGTTGAGCCCCTCGAGATTTCTAGCCTTGGTGCTGGGGCCGTAGCTTTGCATCTCCTGTCTGGCAGTGCTCAGCTCCTTCATGTGAAGCCATGCGCCATGACCAGAGTTCAAGCGCCGCCGGCTCAACTCTGCCCTAAATGGTTACTACAGTTGCATAACTATAATCAACTATAATTGACTATAAATAACTATAATTAACTATAATTAACTATAATTAACCATAATTAACCATAATTAACTATAATTAACTATAATTAACTAAAATTAACTAAAGTTAACTATAATTAGCCATAATTTACTAAAATTAACTATACTTAACTGTAATGAACTATAATTATAACTATATGCTGAATGATTCTATGCTCAACTCTACTCTCAACTCCTGCTCCAGGGAGACCAGGTTCCGGGAGCGTGCCTCCACGGCCTCCGAGCAAAGTAGCGTGACAATGACTACAACTACGAATTCCTGATGTTTAGGGTTTGGGTTTAGGGTTTAGGGTTTAGGGCTCTTTCCTCCGTGTGCGCGGACTTCTTCTTGCTTGCCGCCTCCAAGAGCAACGAGTGCGGAATTGCAAAAAGTAGCTCTGCCAAACACGAACTCCGGCATGGCAGCTCATGGCATTTCATGGGCCTCAAGCGCGGTTTGAATCTGTTCGATCTTCTGCTTGGCCTGTTGCCGTGAACCTCGGCCACACTCGTACTGAATGGACAATGGGCTGAAGGAAAGGGAATGGCGGGTAAGCTCGAAGTATCTCCAGGTCTTCTGATCGAGGGTCCCTATTCTACGCTGCCAGATAAGGGCATGTCGCGCGAGCCCTTCTCTCACGCGAACACGTGCCAGGCACGCGCTCGACATCCTTCGCGGCCGATTCCACATCTGCCTTTGCGCAGAGACATTTGCAGACCATACATAAGAAAGGGAACAGACCAAGAGACAAAGAGGCGAAGAGGGAGAGCGAGAGAAAGAGCGAGAAGAGAGACACAGAAGAGAGAGAGAGGGGAGCGAGACAAGGACGGAGCGCACAGCTCTCATTGGCTCGATTCTCAGAAGCAGACCACTTCTTGGTCAAGCTGCTGCTGCGCCTCTGCGGTCGTGGGGGGGGGGGGGGGGGGTCATTGTATGGTACTCTCCCCATATACCCCCTCACCCAACCCTCCATGAATCTCTACTGCGCACCCTGATGGCAAAACTTTTGGCTGGCGCCATGCTCGCAAGCGCAGGTCATTCGGGCGCAGATGGTCATTTCGGGTTCTCGGGCTTCTCCACAGGCTTCTCCACAGGTTTCCACTGCTTGTACTCTCTTTGGCCACCCGGCGCTGATCCTCGAAGAATGCCATTGCTTGGTCCTCAGGAGGCAGCGGCGGCCGGAGGAGAGTGCAGAGCCAGAACCCTATTAAGGAGAAATCCGGGGGGGGGGGGGGGCTCTCCCGTGTTTAACATTTTAACATATGACAGTAATGACGACACCACCTTCTGACGCAACGAAGGTGGGACTAAGAAAGCAAACTGGGTGGCCGACGCTCTTTCGAAGACATGCTCCCTGCCCTGGATCAGGAAGCTGCACGGCTTCTCGTGCTTGTAAAAGTACTTCGAGCGAAGGCAGTAGCCAGGATTCATGTTGAACCAAGACGGCGCGATCTTGGCAGCCACCTGGGAAAGCTGGGAAGGCGCGTCTAATCGCCTAATCGCACGAACATCTGAGGCCTCTTGGTAGGTGAGCTTCGTTGGCACGTGCTCCTTCACATCACCATACTTGGGCACCAGGTACCTCACAGTGGCAACGTGCTTTGCAAATCTAACCTTCGCATGAACAAGCGGTTACAAGGTGCTGATGTTGCTGACCCAGTCTCTTCAGCATGCACCTCGGCCCATGCAAAATGAAAGGGCCCATGGCCCTCAATTGCAGACTCACCGCACACATTAAAAAAATGCTGCCGGAGCACCAATGCAGGGCGCAGTGCAGAAGAAATGTGATTAGCAGCAATAATCCAAGGGCAGAGTCCTGGCGGCTTCAGTACAAAATAGTACAACTCTCTCAGGTCTCAGGCCGCAACTTCTCCCGGAATGGAGGGAGCATTCGAGGGGACGAAGCGGGACAAGCACTCTCACTTTCGCTCATGTTTCGCTACCAGCACACGTCGTTCTGCCACCGCTGAGGGATTCGTGTCCGCTAAGAATTAAATTAAGTGCTCCGAACATGAACAGGAGAGGAGGCCCGGCTGCCTGCAAGCAGAAGGTGTCTGTTGAGCAGTTGTACTTCTGCACGAAGGCCTCAGTTGTCGACACATAGCTTTGAAGATGTTGAGGGTTCAAGATTCGTAATTGACACTGTAGCTGCGAAAGCTTTTTTTGGGGGGGGGGGCCCAAGGAAGGGGGGGGGGGGTGGGGGGGGGGTGGGGGGGGGTGGGGGGGGGTGGGGGGTGGGGGGGGGGGGGGGGGGGGGGGGTGGGGGGGTGGGGGGGGGGGGTGGGGGGTGGGGGGGGGGGGGGGGGTGGCCCAGCTCACGCCCCGTTAACTACTGATTTTCATACCACTTGAGGCCCTCAGTCACCTTCTCCAGAAACACTTGAGAGACAGTTTTGATTGGCAAACGACAGCTCCCGCAGGCTCCTGGGAGCTAGCTTTTCGTGATAGATGCACATAGATGCCCAGAATCATCCCAACACAAGACAAAAATCCTAAGGCTATTCAGTACGGCAAGTGCAAAAGCGACAGATGGTTTCTGACAATGCTGGCCATTACTGCGTGTTTGGTACGCGAAAAGTTCGCCAGGGTAATCCTCCTATTTGTTCATGTCTGTCTGACCATCTGGGCCCAGGTGCAACAACCAGTTCTGGTCGCCCTAGGATGGTCTTTTACTAGCAAGGCCTTTTCGACTAACCCAACTGAGCAACCCCACGGGCAGGAAGAAAAAAAGGATCAAGGACCAAGAAGGAAAAGTTCGCGCGAGGCAGCGTGAGAACGCGACGCTCCCTGAGTTGACCAGGAGCATCCCTACCGGACCTATAGGACTATAGGAGCAAGCGGTATCTTGAGCCCGCCCCCAATGCGCTCCGGCGTGCCGTTCCCTTCCGTTGGGGGTCCTTCCGGTGCCTCTCCCTTCTGGCTCCGCTGTGCTCCGCATACTCGTTCGTTTTCGGTTGGGGTCTCACCTTGAAAGATAAAACCCAACCCTTCGGCTGTTGGGAATACCGAGCCCGCGAGTCTCGAAAGGCCCCAACGAAACAAAACAGGAATGAATGCGCCACAGACCAGTTTAAGTGCTCTAAGTGTTCTGGGATGTCTTGGTCTTGGAGTCAGCATGCTCAGCTTTGCTCAGCTTTCGAGGTGATGGTCCACCAACGCGATTCTTTGAGGGTCGCGGGCATGAAAAGGAACAGGTTGACGCGAAACAAGCTGGGCGGGCCCAAAATAGCCGCTATGCGGCGAATCAGAATTCCCAGTGGCATTTCGCAAGCACCGTGTAATGTAAAAAAATGTTTGCCTGAACCCGAACATGTCGGCATCAGGAAATAAACATACTGGAGCCACATGGGCAATTCGCACTGGGGCATCAAAATCGCCAGTGTGCGCGGAGTGCTAGAAGCATTTTGGGCGGTGGTTTCGCGATAACATGCCCGGCACGCTTCACGCCACGGACTCAAGCCACAAAGGCTTTGAGAAAGCCAAGGTGCCACAAGCATCAAAGAACAGGGAATGATCAAGAGTAGCTGGGCATAGTCATCAACCACAGAGCCTTGGCTTCTTCCCTGTCTCCTGCAAACAGGACCCAACCCTTTGACTGTCTTGCCTCTTTCGTCAAGCCGCTGCTGAAGCAGAACGATGGAACGCAGCGCAGCACGCGAAAGTGGTCGAAGCAGATGATGAAACTGGGCTGGTCTCTTCGTTTGTATATAGTATGTATATATAGTATATATAAATATAGTATATATATATATGGGCCTGGTACACTGCCGCGGTCTGTCAACAACCATTGCTTTGAGAGGCTGATAGTTCATTTGTCTATCAGATTCTTCCAAGGTGCATATGTGATACGATGAGGCCAACAAACAATGGCACAGTGTAGCCACCAGGCAAGAAGAATATCAGAACTGCTGCGGCGATGTTGATCAGCACGTCAGCATATCGCCCAGAATCCATGGGCACGAAGATCTTCAAAGCCTGGAAACCATGCATCGAATGTACAGTTGTCAAGGGTACACTTTGCAGGCTCGCGCTGAAGCTCAGATTGATGCGTGCGCCTTCTGGGCTTTGTAGCCCTTGATGTGCGGAAACGTTGTGACAACAAGGCGTGCCAAATGGAGCGTGAAGAAGTTGGCGCCGACAGCCTCTCCTGACATGCGTCCGGTCAAAAGCAGCATTGCTGCAAGAAAGAGGTGCAGCTTGTAGATCCGGATTGCTCTGACATGTCTGCAGCTCCTATGAAGGGGATGAGGAACATCGATGGCCAACAATACTTGAAGACTTGAAAAGCAAGCTGTCGCCTCGGCAGCAGCAGACAGCAAAGCTGACAAGTTCACCTCGTCCACAAGTGCCGTCCAGCCGCTGTATTTCGAAGCTCTCGAAAAGTGCTTGTGCACGTGTAAGATCAGCTACCAGGATGCCACCATAAGTTCGGGCATGGTTTGCAACCTTGGAAAGGGTTTTTGGCAGATCAGAACTAGGTAAGGTCGGAATGTGAAACTACTGTTCTCAAGTTTGGCAGAGCCGCTGCAGTTCGATAAGCGATGTATCCACCCACCGCAGCATCCAAGAGGATGTTGAAGAGGATCGCAACGGTGTACAGCACCTTGGAAATTGCAGCTGCAGGCCCTACGGATGACAGCAGGCAGCTTGAAGCTTCCTTCTGCCGGCTTCCCGCAACATGATGCAAGGCCTGCTCAGCCCTCGACCATATAGACCCCTTCCTCCGTGTCTCGGAGCACGTGGCCGATACGTTTGGCCGCCTCTGCACATGTCGTGTACATGAGAAGGTTCCCAAGTACGACAATGACCGTCAGCGCGACGCTCATCATGGCAGATGGCTTGTCACCATTGGAGTAGGAGAAGGAGGATGCGTAGAGGGCATAAGGTAGATAGATGCAGACAGCCCATGCGGCGCTGGCGATGACAATGATCTTGATGCTGGCAAAGAGCCGCTCGCGTCGAGTTGCCTTGTTGATGGCCATGTTCTCCCATTGGACACCCATAGGCTCTGTCACAATAGGCCTGAGCTTCAGCATTGCCTCACGGAAGGTAAAGCTCTCCTTACACTTCTCCAGGGCGGCATCCCGCCCATCTTCCGTCTTGAAAATCACAAGGGCCAGTGGAGAGCTTTGGAGGTTGGTACAGAGGACCTCGGGAGGCTCAGAGGCTTGCTCATCCTTTGTTCCCGTCTGCTTCTCTTCCTGCTTGCCCTCCTTGTCCACCTCCTTCGCCTCGGACCCCTTACTTTCCTTACTTTCCGTACTGTCCTTACTTTCCTTGCTTGCTTCTCCTCCCTCTACCGCCTGCGCCGCCTGCGCCGCCTGCGCCGCCTGCACCTCTTCGGGTGGGGGCGGCACTGTGTCAATGCCGAGCATGCCAGACAGCATTATTTTGTCCAAGATCCTTAGCCACTTTGGTCTCTGCCGTGAAAATGTTTGTACCTCCTCTGAGCCACCCTTGTCAGCCTGCTCGGTGCTCAAGCTTTCCAGCGCCAAGACGTCCTCTTCAAGGAGCTTGAGGATCTGCTCACCATGATCGTCCATGCGCCAGCCCACCGAGACACCCACAACTTCCTCGGTATTGTGTCAACCCCAATGAGCCGCATCGACAAACCTAGATTCTCATCCTTGCGGAAGGCAAATGAAGGCAAGGCGCCTGCGAGGTGGCCTTTTCCAGCTCGGCCTTGAGCAGATCCTCCAGCTGCTCAGAGCCACTCACTGCGGGCAGGCCTTCCAACAGCGCCACGAAGTCCGCATGCGTTGGATACGCGTTCAGCCCTCGGAACAGTGTACAGTTCGGCAAGCTCAGGCTGCGTTCTATATGTATGTATATATATGTATATTATCTATATCTGTACAGCTAGGCAGCTAGGCAGCAAGGCAGGGCAGGGATCAGGCAGCCACCTGTCTCTCTGAGGCTGCCACTGTTAAATGTCCGCCTCTGATGTATGGCGAAGAGCATGCAAAGCACGAAGGACGTCACGTAAGCTGCGAGTACAAAGGAAGACTTCGCCCACATGTACGTTTGCTGCGCTTCATAGCCGTGGTGAATGACATTGCACAGCTCCCTCGGAGACTTCGGGTCTTCTGTCCCGAGAGCAAAGAGCTGTGCTCCAGTCAAGCACAGGAACAGCACCTTGGAAAGATAAACAAGGCGGAACTGCTTGCAATGACGGAGTAACATGAAGTAACTGTAGAGTACGGGAGGCGCCCACAAAGTCAGCAGCACCAGTGCCAGGAGCATGATGAAGACTTGGTAGCGAAAGAAAAGAACCGAGCCAGGGCCCGCAACGGGCACCTCATGAACACGGGGCACACACACATGCGCAGTGGCTTCTCGGCAGTTTGTAGCTAGAGTAAGTGTCAGTTATGGAGCAGTTAGGCAGCTAAGAGTTAGCGCGAGAGGCTGAGCGCGGGACAGAAAGTGTGTTCGTTTTCAGTGGCCAGAGTTGGCGCTCCTCTGCAGGAGCTTCCCCGCTCACAGTCTCCACCGCGCATAACTTCGTCTGCGTCCGAAACTGCAGCGCTTGCGCTTCCTCTTCGAGGTTCACCTTCTTCCTTGTGGCCAAGCTCACATACCACACAACGAAGTACGCCATGGGGATGAAGAGTGCGACGTACACCAGGCTTTGCAACAAGGTTCCTACTATTGGCACCTGGAACACACATGCTCCTTCCTGCAGAGCAAAGCCGCGCAAACATTTTTGGCACGTATCACTGTGAGCCGTCCTGTTGCAGAGGTTGCAGCCGGGAACGGAGCATCGCCGACAAAAGCCGGCATCTGTGTCCGGGACGGAGCGAGCGAGGTTGGTTGCACTGGTTTGAGCTCCGCAGTCAGTTTTGGTCACACATTTGAAGACGCAATGCGTCTCTGCCGTCGTGTCTTCAGCAAAAAGGGGACAAGCTTCAGGACAAGCTTCGTCCTCACCAATGGTGGTGCTGTGTCGGGGCTTGAAACATTCCTTTGGGAAGTTCTGCGGAATAGCTGCTGAGGCTGAGGTCTTCTTCACGACGACTGGCGGAACAAGCGGAACACCTTTCTCAAAGTCGGTTGAAAGGCCTGCCTTCTCAGCACGATGCTGCCCTTCCACAATCCGGGCCTCAGCCTCGTCAGCCAAAGGAGTGCCCCCCGACATATACCAACTGTCTTTCGGCGGGCCGGACCCCATGCCTGTAGGGGAGGTTGCTGCAGTGTAATGTATGTGACGCTGCATCTGGTCCCTTTGCTTGTCAAAGTCAAAGGTCTGGGCTTTGGCAATCGTGTTTTCCACTACATCCTCAATAAACCACCCAGTGTCTCTTGGATCCGACTTTTCGTTATCAGGCTCATGATGCCTCGCGTCTGTCCTGAGGAGCCGGGCGTCCATACCTCCCACCCTCGAGGCGCTTCCATCGTACGCTACGTGTATCGCTGGTTTGGCAGAACTACTATGTGCAATGGCAAACGGAATCAGGAGTCCTTGCCAGAGCACACGCAAAGCGTGTGCTTTGCACATGCTTAGCTAAGCTTTCTCAGCCATCGCCATCGAGCACATGGCTGCGGCAACGTAGCTCGTGCAAAGTTGCCCTTCACGCTGCTGGAACATGACATTCAAAACTACACAAGTACAAAAGAGTCTGGTGTACAAAGAAAACGAGGGTAAAGCCGCACTTTCCCCGCATGACCCGCGCTTTTGAACTCCTACTATGGTTTGACTGAAATAAGGACAACTTCCGTGGAATCCTTCCACTCCTGGTCCAGGCGGCTTGCTTTCGCGGACGCTTCCGGGCTTCCGGGAGTAGGTTTCCAGCAGCAAAAGGAAAATAAACGACCATGACCGGAACACGCGTCAGCGGTCAAGTGGCCCTCGACGACACGAGAAGTCTCGTGGAGCGTGGACGCGTTTGTAGGCTGTCAAAAAGAACCCAAAGCCTAAGCTCGAAGAAGTCCCCAACATTGCCTCTAGGAGCGTTGGACAGGTGGTAAAGACACTGAAAGGCCCACCGACCTCCGTGAACAGGAGGCGAGGGATTTCTTTGCATTCCAAGCAAACGGGAAACGGCAAAATGAAAAACCCTAAGTTTTCCTGCAGGGGCCGGAAAAGCACGGAGTCCGTATACGGGCTTTGGAAATGGACTTCGGGCGGAAAAGCATTCATCGCGACCCCAACACTGGAAGAAGTGAAAGCGGAGTTGGTTTTTACAGGGTTTGGACTTGGAGTTGGGTTTTTTGTCAGTGAAAGCTTTGCCTGTCAGATTGGGCCCAGAGCCCAAAACCTGCGTGTCTGCGGATGAACGAGCATGGCATTTTCTACCTAGGGTATCCGGAATGCGGCTCAACCCAAGCACAAATACTCATCTGCGTCCTGGTAGGTATACTACTGCTTGCCATAACGATATGTACAAAGTAAATATACAATGTATATCATATCTTCAAGCCCTTCCGGTAATGCTAGCATCGTTTCGCATTCAATGAACTTTGATTAGTCGACGATACAGCCGCTCAGGTAGAGCGCCCCAAGCCCCAGAGATGAGAGCACCCTCTAGACTACCTTGCCTCTAGATTCTGCCCGGTGCAGCCCATGGCGTGACCCGAGGCCTGCTGTAGTTGCACAATCTCTGCCATAGCGTTGATCAGCTCAGTCGCCGCCTTGGAGCCCCCCCCCCCTCAACAGCCAGAAGAAGCCAGAAACGAAGATATGTGAAGGTGCAAGGTCCGTCCCTGACAGATATTCACGACCATTCATCCAACAAGCGATAGCCGCCGAAAGTGGTGTGATGTTTGGAAGTCTTGCTACTTGTAAGTGATGGCAAGTACAGACATGGAAAGGGCACTATGGCCTAGGCCTGAGCTTGTGTGGTGGACAGCAAGTCCGATCTCTGTGCCAGCTCAACCTGAAGCATCGGCTCTCTTCGGCTCACCAGTGGTTTAGGGTTTAGGGTTTAGAGTTTAGGGCCTGTTGCTGGTCCGCTTCGAGGGCCAGCTTGCCGCGGCACTCCTGAATGGGAGAGAGCCACGGAGAGTCACGGTCTACCAAGAGTCAAAAGTTGCCTTCATATTCTCCGTCAGAGATACCCGAGCCTGGGCGCGGTTCAGCTCTTCAGCAGCTGCAATCTCGAGCTTCTCCTGCGTGGTGTGCTCTTCTTCAAACATGCGTTGGCCTCTCCGCTTTCGCTCTCCCAATTTCATCTCGTGCCATCGGAGCCTTTTCGGACTGAAGTCGTTCCAGGGCCTCAAGTGACACTGTGCAAAGACTGACGTGCAGTCTTCGTAGAGGTTGTCAACAGTCGATGACCAAGCCTGTTCCTCCTGCTGCAGTTGCTTCGACAGAGTTGCGAGCACCTCCTGCCCGGGTTCACTCCATCTTGCGGCTGCGAGCCTTTCAATCCCCTACTGCCCTAAACCCCTAAACCCCTAAACCCCTAAACCCCTAAACCCCTAAACCCCTAAACCCCTAAACCCCTAAACCCCTAAACCCCTAAACCCCTAAACCCTACTGGCCTCATCCTCGGCACTCTTGAGAGTTCGATCCAGCAGATCCTGAGCAAACCAAGACGGTATCTAAGCAGGAGCTGAGGCCCCTAAACCCTAAACCCCAAACCCCAAACCCTAAACCCTAAACCCCCAAACCCTAAACCCCAAACCCTAAACCCTAAACCCGATACTACCCCCCCCCATTCATGGTTCCCAGTGGCTCGGCCCCCCCCAAGTTCCGGCCTGTGCCAGGGAGTCGACGTGACGCTGGATGGTCTTGAGCTGGTTGCGGTTCTCACCCAGGGATCCCTTCACAGCAAGAACAAAAGAAGGCGCATTCTGAAGCTCCCTAAACCCTAAACCCTAAACCCTAAACCCTAAACCCTAAGCCCTGAGCCCTAAACCCTAAACCCAACTCTTCCCAGTTTGACTTTGTTGCTGTCAGTTTGACCGAGGCCTCCAGCTGTGCAACTTTGGACACCTGGACGGCCAGCTCCCGCTTCACGGCCTCAGCCCCGCAGGCCCTACATGCGCACAAAAAACAGACATAAATGCCTAAATAAATAAATATATATATATATATATACGCATACACACAAATACATATATAGTATAGATATATATATATATATATATCTATATATATATATATGTATAGAGTATATCCCCTTTACCCTCGGCGTTTGTGTTCTCTCGTGTGGAAGCCGTACTTCACTCTTCTCACGCGCGACGTGCCTCGGTGGCCGTCCTTGCACCCTCCCCTTCCTGCGCAGAGCGTGGTCCGCTCTCCGGTTTAGAGTTTAGGGCTTCGGGCTTAGGGCCAAACAAAATCCAACCTTTGCCTCCTGCAACTCGGATCGAAGTTCGTTGGCTGCCTGCTCCGCCTCCTGCAAACCTGGATCTCACAACACGCGGAGAAATTGCGGGCTAAGATGGGCCAGCTGATTCCAAACCAACATCGATCGAAGGAATAAGCTCGCAGCGTTTCTCGGCGTCTCGCTGCCGTGCTTCAGCAGCCGCCAAACTGGCATCATCACTTCGCTTCTGCTCCTGACCGCCATTCCGTGAACCAAGACTCGACATGTGAGTTGCAACGGAGTGATTCAGTGATGGCCTCAAAGGCTGCATAGGCGGCAATTGCCTCCCCGCACGCAGCGAGCAGCAAAAGCTGTCAAATTGAAGACTGGTAGGGTCGCCGTGCACTTCAGTCCAGACTCTTCACGGATATCCACAAATTTCAATGACCTTTCTGAGCTGGGCCTCTCTGCTGTGCTGCGGGCAGCTGGACTTGGGTGAGGTCTAGCTGCCTAAGTAAGTCCCTGTATTCTTCATTTAAAAGGCGAACGTGCGTAAACCGAATGATAGTGGTAACGTAGGCGATGAGTTTCTCATGCATGTTCTGCCTAGATTCACCGCTATGTCACACCAGTTTGCATGTGGCGCTTGCACACCTGGCAGTTCACGGTCAAATTATCTCGAATCGCGCTTCCTTTTCGATCATTCGACTCGACTCCTCTGAAACTTCTCAACGCAGCGAGAGTTCGACGACCGAGCTATCGCATTTGATTCAGGGGCAAGCCATTCCGGATCGAATTCCAGAGTCATGCACGCCATGTCTGACCTGCAAAGCGAGCTTCATGAAATGCTCTCACACCTGTGAGCTTCTCGGTCCCGGTTGAGGATGCGGAGATGCCGACTACAGACCGCCCTCGAATCAAAATATTCTGCTTTCCGCTGAGCTGAAGCTCAAGCCTCGCGACACTCTAGCTTCCCTAGCTTCCTTGTGGACAGCAGCAGTGCGGCCTCGTCCAACTCTTTCTGTAGGCTGGCAACGAACTCATTTTCGGAGTCCTTTCTGACGCACACGAAAACAATCGAGCACTCAGTAAAGGCAGCGACTTCCTCCGAAACCACTTTCTGTTGTAGCTCCTGGCAGCCACGCTGACACAGTCTCCTCTAGAAGCTGTGGCTCAACATAGCATTCTCAACTAAGGCCAGCTTCTCAGCAGTGCTATGTGATAACAGAAGTAACTTTAGTTGAATATCCTTCTTCTTTACGTCCAGAGCTTCGATGGCGCTGGCAAGCTCTTGGGCCTCGCAGAAGTGCAGTATCAGAAATGCTCTAGCTGGCACAACCGTGCAAATTTTTGACATGAACAGTCACCAGAGACAAGCGCCTCGGATCTCCAGCGGTCCAGCTCTGCTGATGCGGACTTGGCTTGCGAGTCAAAGCCTTTCTGGGCTTTGCTCGCACCTCAAGTGACTCTGTCTCAAAATAGTCATCGGGCATTTGCAGGCGTCAGGGAGCCTTTGATCTGGTGAGTACGTGTGAATCTACTACTTCGCCACAGCCCCAGGGCCGTGAGGGCCGACAGGCATCTGGAACAAGCAGATCAGGGCTTGGTCAAGTGGTTTCCCAGCACCCCCTGAGCACTCCTCGCCTTCCTTCGTTGATTCCTGGCCTTTTAAGTCAAAGAAGTGCCGATGCCACAGCGGCTAAGTTCACAGCTTCTGCTGTTGACTCCCTTTCACCACCGGCAGGAGGGAGAGAGGGGCAAGATGGTGGCAACCAGGCGTTCAGTCAGGGCAGAGAGGGCAGGAGGTATTCACATGAGCGCCGCTGTAAGTCATCCTATTGTTGCTTGATCACGAGGGCTTTGCATCAGGAAAGGGGCGCTGCGGACGCCGAGAGAACAATGACATGATTCATTCTTCCAAGTCCCAACATACACGTAAAGCACCTCAAGAAAGACCTTTCGAGATCCAGCGATCACCATCAAGGAAGGCTAGCTTAGGAGTGGGTTTAAAAATATTCATAACACCCCGATTAGGCTTGACGGACTGCCCAATAGCCTGAGGACCCTGCTTTCTCGCCATTGCTCGCGTTCCCGTAGGGTTTGTGCAAGCTGCCGCTCCGTCTAAGTCACGTTCGACATAAATGGAATCACAGATGCTCTGTTGATGTGCAGGCCATGCCTCTTCTTTGTTGCTGCGCAGCTCGGCCACAGAGAGCTGCCTCAAATGGAGTGTCTCCTTGAAGCCGGCATTGCTATGTATTGCTCCAACCTAGACCGAAAAAAGGGGGGGGGGGCACATCAGTCAACATGCCTCATGATGTCTCACGTCTCCTTGTGCGCAATGATGCCCAGCTCCAGGTTGCCGATGTCTTTCTCGGCATCTTGCCTGCATTCTCTAAAACAGCACCAAATAGCACTGCTTTTATGATGCGGGCTTCTCCGCTGCCAGCTCTCAGCGCCGGTCTTACGGCGAGATGCACCCTTCAGCTCGAGCTCAACGTGTGAAAGACGCTCGTGGAGTCTCGTGACCTGACTCGGACTATAGATGACCAGGTACCGAAGACAAGCTGAGAAGCATTGAGCAACTTTCTTCACCTGCTTGCTGCGCACTAACCTTTTCAGCGTCCTTACCACGCCCACCTCCTGCACGACCTCTCGAAGCTGCTCCTCTGCCGAGCTTGCCTCACCCGCAAGTTCCATGTGAGACCAAGTGCCCAACAACCTCAAACCCAACTCAACGCATAAAGAGGACTAAAGGCGAAAGGATCATCACAGACTTGCCGTGGCTTGCCGTGGCTTGCCTGTCGCTTTGCATCGCTCAGGGAAGAGATGCGCGCCTGAAGGCTGCAGGGAATCTGTACTCCGCTCTGCTGTGTACATTCACAAAGCGCAAGAAGCCTTGATGGAAGCCATCTCCCGCTCTTTGGCCCGGATTTCGGAAGCCTAAAAAAGCTGCGAGGACTAGAGTTTGCTTGCTGAGGTCCTTGAACTTTCAAGGCACAGCACCTCCTCCTCCATGTCGCTGACCGGGCCGCAGCATTCGTGAGTGCGTTGAAGGTGCCGTTTCGATTGGGGCCGCACCAGGGCCCGGGAAGGCGTGAAGGAAAGTTGGGGGTTAGGGGGGGTTAGGGATGGTATTAGGCATGGTTGGGGTGCCTTTTGATGAGCGAATGCCGCTGGCCAGCAGACAAAGCCTGAGCCATAGCCATCAGTCATCGCCGAAGGAGCATTGCCAACTGCAAACGTTCAGGAGATGCACTGCATTGCACTGCACTCTCCGTAAACAAACTTGTGATGGCTACCCAAGACCACTTTTTCGATCTAGAGCAGCATCAGATCTTCTTGTGCCCGACCCAATGCGTGGCTGCCTGATGCAAGAGATGTAGCAGCCACAAATGAGGTACGGAGGAGGGAGACTGGATTTGTTTTTATGGCCAAACCTCGGTACATGGCCCACGTGTTTAGGGTTCAGAGGAGCGTATAGGGTGCTTGGTGTTCAATGTGTTTAAAGTTCGAATCTGAAGTGCTCCAGTTGAAGGATAAGGTTTTGGGTTGAGGCAAAGGTGACCAAGGCGCATAGGATTTCGGATGACAGTCTGACAGGGAAAGCGATCGAGCTATCCTCTACAAGCCACAAACACCTTTATTCAAACATCCCGATTGAGGAGTTTGTCCAGATTCTTCAATGGCTCTGGGGCTGAGTCGTCGAAAACCCTTAAACCCTAAACCCTAAACCCTTCACAACAACCGTGAGTGCGAACGGGCTTTGAAGCTATTTGCACCTTTTGGCGGGGCAGCGGCGGCTCTGCCCCTCCCCGATTCTTCTTCCATCTCCGTGCTCCGCAAAATGTTTGGAAAGGTGCACATCGCCTCTTCGAGTTCGCTCACGTCCAGGTTTTTCTTTTAAAAGGCGCGGGCGCACAGCGGCAAACATGCATCAAGATGTCCCAAGTCCAAGCCGTTTTTGGAAACAATCTGACCAGTGAACAGCTTGCGGTCGGAGCGTGACTGGGCCAGCTTCACGTCGTTGTTCTTTGCCCAGGTCCAAACCACGGTTGTTGCGGTGCGCGCAGCGAAACATAAGAGGTACTAAGAGGCACTCAAGCTTGCAGAATGGCTCCTGGCTCACAAGAAGTACCATCCCCCCCCCCCCCCTTCTGTCTCCTCCCCCTTCCTGTGGTTGATTTCGTGGAATCTGTTGAATGGAGAACGGAGACTTCATGCGATTGGAACTGGGATCACACCAACACGAAAGTCCCGCTCTCGCTTTTTTCACATCAAATAGCCTTGCACCCCCTTCAGGACCCCTCATCTCAGGACCGCCAGAGACCATCAACCTCCCAGGAATCCCTTGAACTCCACATCCTGTCCACTCCAGAGTGTAGCGTAAACCCATAGAATCCTGGCGATTGCCAGCGGGTGAGTGATCCATTGGAGCGCGGGAGATGATGAAGACTTGGTGACAACTTTAAGCTCTACGTTTGCTGTGCCTGACTCAGTACGGTCGGCAGTCCGTGTTGCAGTATCTTAGTTATGTTGAGGCAAAAGCGACACAGGCCCTTAGGTGGGAGGGTGAGGTTAAGGTCAGGGCGGAGAGGGGGGAGGTGAGATATCACGCACAATTAGGTCCACCAAGTCTTTTCTTTGCCTCAAGACAGTAAGGTTGCAAATAAACCGCAAGCTCCAAGGAGCTAGCCTTCGTGATAAACGTGTGTGTGAGCAAGAGTGCAAAGGTCAGCAAATCGACAAACAACAGTGAGCCACATCGAGTATGCGAGAGTAAGAGGGAGGCACGAGCGCTGGCACCGACTTACGTTGCCCGAATGGCGCTCCCAAGACTATGTGCACCGTAGGTCCCGCCAGTTGGCTGGCTAGGCTATACATGGCTATGATACCCCTTCACCCGATACCTGTATCACCAGGTTGCACTCCAACAAAACATCGAGATGATCATGCGAACAGCCTCAACCACACAAAAAACGTTCGAACTTGACCGACCACCACCAACAATCATGAGTTGAGTCACCTAAGTCATCAGTTCTTCATGCCAAGCCACGGGATCCGGCCAGTACCGGTAGCAGGAGGTGAGCCCTCGCCTTATGGGAAACTGGACCTACTGAAAATGTCTGAGAATGTCAGTCTTTAGCACGCCTAAATCGCACTTGCATTCCTCCTACAAGTAAAGCGCTGCCAAAAGCCGATGAAGACTTCTGACTAAGTTCTCCGCCGGTGGTAGCTTCCAGGTTGATGTTCGGAGCCATCCTTTCTGCCGGTACAGCAGGCACGGGATTGGCGCGCTGAGGTTCTGCTCTACCAATTCTGTTCCCTCCCCTGCACAGCCGATGGTCAAAACCACCCACACCCCGAACCCTAAACCCTAAACCTTCTCTTCATACCCTCACGGTGCAAATGTGTTGACCCAGCTGCAGCACTGCCACGGGTCGTGCCAAGAGTCGTATATCAAGGCCGTCTTTGGAATGAGCGCGCCATCTTCTCCTTAGCTGAGATTCCCACATGCCAACGTCCAGAAACGGGCCCGTGCTTCAGTGAGACTCCGAGACTCCTGCCATTCACCATCTCGATTCCTTCTTTCTCCGTGGGGTCCAGCCACCTTTCTGCAACTTTATAGCCACGCGCCATTCAGCACCCTAAACCCTGAACCCTAAACCCTAAACCCTAAACCCTCAACCCCTGGCTGCCTGTTGGCCCACAGGTCAAGAAGCCGCACGGGCTTCGGCGGCGGTGGGTCTGCAGGGTCCTGGCTGCAAGATGCCCGCAGGCGTGTCTCTCTCTTGTTTTCTTTGTGGGCATCCATAACCCAAGGATCCGAGTGTAAATATCGCCCCAACAATATCGCGGCCCCCCAAAACCTTGGGAATGAAAGGACACCAAGGCCTTTAGGACAGCTCCCAGCTCCAAGAATATTGTGGCCTTAGGAGGTTCCAATCCAGGGCCGCAACCATAGAAAAACAGAACAACGTAAATCCCCCCATCGAAGGCAACCGCAAAGTGAACGAAGCAACTCACACAGTGGGTGCTTAGAGAAAAAGCCAACAGGAAGAGAGGAGGAGAAGAACAGAGGAAAAGAAGAGAAGAGTCCCAGCACGCCATTACCCGTCCCATTCCGGCTCCTCCTCAGGCATCAACACAATTTCATCGATGCGGAGCATGGTCACCCACTGCCTGCAGACTCTGCAAAAAGATCGAAATGGGTTGCTGATGACCCGACAGATTAGTAAGGCCTGCGACGATAGAAGTGGGACTGCTTTCGACGCGGCTTGTACCTAGCCGTCATACACAAGCATTCCTTGAAGGGGCCAATGTGCATGGCAGTCATTGCTTGGTATATCTTTTGAAAGGCTTTGCGTCAGCACCATCAATGTAACTGAGTTAAGGGAGGAGCCAGAAAGCAAGCATCTCTCTCGTCAGAGTCTGCTGCCTGTCGAAATTCATTTTCGAGACATGTCGTTGCCGGAGGGGAAGAAGTGTGAGAAGACGAAAGGGTCGGAGGGTAAGACAGGCAGAAGATGACTGAACCGTGTGGACAAACTCAGGAAAAGCTCGTCAATGTTGAAGCAGCTGCGTTTTCCAGGCGGTCTTGCCCCAGGTAACACAGTGGCAAGTCCAACTTGGGATGCGGCTCGATGGTTGCCTTGACTTTTGCGTACGGCCTAAGAGGTCGAGGTTGAATCCAGAGTCTCGCTATGCAAAAGGATTCCGTGAGTCCGGAACACGGTGGGCTTGCCCAGGATGGTAAAGTCCTGCGCTGAGGCCACCAAGGCTTGGAGACAACAAGGCCAGCCTTTCCCTGGGTCCTTCGAGCCAACCACCAGCACGGTCCCAAACACCACCTTTTGCAATTCGTCTGAAGCAAGACATAAGAGGACGGGAAATGTAAGGAACCAGGGGAAGCAGAAGTTGGCTCAGCATGGTGCAAGTCAGGAGACAAACCAGAGCCGCGGAGCCTTCTCACCAGCCTCTCTTCTGTGGAGCTTCTCAGTCTGCACCAGGTCCCCCACCTCGGATGAGACAGCCCGATGCAAGCCGGTGCGAGGCCCGCATCGAGAGTCGAGAGCTATTAAGCTTCCTGCAGTCACCTTGTGCTGGTGAAGGTGGCTGCCTAGAACAATGCCACTCTTCACAGAGCAAGCCGTGACAGGCCTGCAGCATGACGCAATACTGGCGATGTACTGCATTCAAGATGCTCTTGAAGACGCAGAAGAGCTCCTGCTGTTTGATCCTTCTGCAAAGGCGATCGTGCAGCGAAGTGATGCACGCTGCTCCAACAAGTTCAATCTGCTTCTCAGCCTGTCAAAGTGTTCGGAGCTCGGGAGCTCGGGTTGTGGCCTCCTAGCCGGTGCGAAGGTGCGCAACTTGCGTTCAACCGAACCAACTAAAACTAACATGAATCAACCATCTCCTGTGCGGCATGTCGCGATGCCATATGAAGGCGCAAGTTGGCTTGTTGCCTCAACGCAGTTCTTAAACAGCACTCGTTTGTGCACAGCCGACTGGTATATCCAAGCTGCGTGGGAAATCCGTACGCTGTGACTTCCAATGGCGAGCCACCTGACTGAGCGACATAGGCAAACTTTGTTTGGGCAAATGCTGCCTACACCTTCGGGAGTGCCACAGCCATCAGTGGTGCTTGCATGTGTCACACGTCGGCTATTGTTGAGTCCCGTACAGTCATTCGACTGGTTGAGAAGCGAGTGGTGAATTGCCAGCGCAGCTTCAAGTCATCTCAGTGCCAGAGAACTGAGGAAAACAAACAAAGGGGAATCGGAAGCTTGTACAACTAAGTCCCCGACTGTAAGTTAACAACTCGTTCATATTAGATTCAATATCCTGGAGCGGATGCTTCGGAATCTTGGGCGGCATGTACCTCGATGACGCTCAAGCACAACCGCTCTGCTGCATCAACATGGCACTGGCAGGCCATGTTCAAACTAGGAAGGAGGAAGGTAAATCGTAACAACCCTGGCGCACAATTTCGGCCGCTTTCGCGACCTGAGCATGGTAGATGATGTAAGCATGGTCCAGCAGCATGGCCCATCCCTGTGGACTTGCAATCGAGGACACCACCCTTGCACGACTTCCAGCTTGTGGCCCAAAATGTGGCCTGATGCAGATGCATGCCTGCCTAGCGATGCTTGAAGTCACAAAGCATCATGGAAGGACCTGTAGCTTTCACCGGATGTCGGATGATGCCGCGCACCTCGATGTACAAGAAGGTTGCACGAAATTCTCCACTTGAAACTCGCAGGTTTGAAGCAAGACTGGAACTCTAAGTTCGCCGACACCGCCCAAGACATTCAATGACCAGGCTGTGGGATGCTCGATGCATCCTGGAGATTGGAAGAGCCACTTCTCTAGTCTGACTGGCTTACTGCTTGGGTAGGGGCGGGCGCGGGAAGGAGCGGGAAGGCGCGGGAAGGATGGGAAAAGGGGGGCGCTAAAGGAGGAAGGGGGGAAGGGCGGCGAGGCGAGGCAGGAGGGGCAAGAGCGGGATGCATCCCAAACCCTGAACCCTAAACCCTGAACCGCCATGCGTCCATATGCACCTTGAAGGAGCGTAGCTCTGGCGGGGAGGCGGGGGAGCCGGCTCCTTGGAAGGACACACTGCCCTAAACCCTAAACCCTAAACCCTAAACCCTAGACCCTAAACCCTAAACCCTAAACCCTGAACCCTCAAAACTATCCTAAACCGTTGGACTCACTCGGGATGGCTGTGGGGGCTCCAGAGTTCCCATGCTGAGAAGCAAGCGGTCTCAGTCGGCACGCAACGCTGCATGCCATGACCATGGCCAGCTCATTCCAAGGGTGTCCGGGGTTTAGGGTTCAGGGTTTAGGGTTTAGGGTTTAGGGGATATAGGGTTTAGGGTTTAGGGGAGCTAGCAATCGCAAGGCGTACTTGGGCTCACCATGGCAACGCGAACGGAACAAGATACTAGACAATCGCATATGTTAATATGTGTTCTCGATCCAATATAGAAAGCTGTGATGTGTCAATAGTTTCTTGTACTCAGGTTGGCAGGCGCCGCTAGCAGCACAGCGTGCACAGACAGTGCAGCGTTCTTTGCCAATCCAGAGAGTCTTGACCATCAAGCTCGGATTTTCACACGGGAGCCGGGAGCTTTGAAAGCAAGGAGTTGAGAAGCCTGAGGTTTCGGTTGGTGGAGATTCTGTCACTGGCTGCCTACTAATTTTAACATGCAAAAGGTCGCAAGGTTCTTGGGTTGGCTTTCGCCAAGGACTCCCTCCCGAGGTCTTACAAGTATTGTTTCAAATGCGTTTGCCGCAGTTGCCGCAGTTGTCATCTGGGATGTTCCCCCTAAACTAACAGTCCTGAATAGGGATCATAATCGGGGGTACTATACTCCCTATGAAGGACTCTTAGTAACTGTGAGTATGATTAGTTGGCACTCCCCCAAGCTCCCCTACTGTACCTTTTTCTATCCACACCCGCGGAGCTGGTCCGAGAGTCCGAGGTATCCAGAACATGTGGCGCTGTCTCGGTCCGCGCAGCCTCGCTGCTCCACGAGGACCCGATGTGGAACTCGCTCTCCACCTCGTGCAATGCGAGAGCGCTCTTCGCTGGCTTTCGTGAATCCTCAAACCTTGAGTTTTTTTTGGCGCCTTCGGGCTGGCAAGCGAGACGAGGGCTCCAAGACATAAGCCAGAAGCCACAAAATGAGGGTTGCAGCGCTGACCCGAAGGCTCCATCTCGTACATGCAAGGAGCTGGCATCTCTTGGTTTTCAACACGATCCACTCCTCGCGCACCAAATTCGCCGAAAACTCGGGAACAAGAACCCAAAGGTTCAGGAGAACATATCAGTTTCCTGGAGAGCAATTTCCAAGATTTGTGCAGAGCCGGGGTCCCTGACTTGCGGATGAGCCAACAAATGGCCCAAAGTGTTGATTGCAAGCAACTCAAGCAATGGTTTTAAGCTGAAAGATACGCACAAAGGATAAGGAGACCCGAGCTCCAAATGCACGACGCTTCTAATTTCAGGTCTACCAGGGTCTGGGGCCTTTTGGGCTGCTTATATAGAGGGCACATCAGCCAAAGCGACTGCGCCACATTAAACCCGACCTGCGCAGCCTGAACATCAGAACCTAAACTGAACCCGAAATTGCGTGCGACGCGGGCCTTCTTCGGTGTGTTGACAGCGTGTGTGGCAGCTTCCAGGATGATCGGGGATGGCGACAACAATGCGCATCGACACCGGTCAACGGCCAGCGAAAAACACAGCGAAACATGTGTGCTCAAATTCCCCCGGAGAGGCGGCCTCGCCTTCTGCAACTGCTGGGAAAAGGGAACAAACGATGAAACATCCGAAAAACTATGTCCTCTGAGCAAAAAAGAGCCCTTCCACAACAGGCCCTCTGCAACTTCTCGCCATGCCCAGCCCTGCTTGACCTGGAGCATCCCGTCGCTTCTGCCATCTCTCGATATCTATACTCCCTTTAGAACCTTAATAAAAATACTATTTTTGATGTCCTCTTGGGTTTTATATAAACGAAAAAATGATTCCCAAGGGGGATATAGATATCTCTAGACTCGCACCTCCAGCCACTGGACGTAGCATCATGTTCTTGATCGGCGGCTTCCAGTCCACTCCTCACTGAGACGGCTGGTCAAAGTGCGCCAGCCTGCCGAGCCACTGCCAACTCGTACAAACCAGAATCCTGAAACCCCAAGTTTGAAAAAGAGCGGATGGATGCTTCGGAAGTATGTATATAGGACCTGCAACGGTGCAAATCAGACACGGGTTTGCGGCGGCTGATGCGATTGCCTGCGTTCTCGCAGGTCTTCTGCTGGTGCCGCTGGTGCCTGCTTGCCCATGGCCAGAAGTGTCTGACCGCCGCAAGCACGACTGAATCTCAGAGTTGCCTCACTGCCCGTTGCCGTGCTCGCTCCTTCCACGATGTTGAAACATCAGAAGACTAACAGAAGCAAACTTCTCGTTTCCGATTTGCAGGCGGAGATGGGCCTGCGGCAGCGGGCCTGCCAGAACAAAAAGCGGTTTCAAAGCACGAGACGCATGCAAATCTATGCAAGGTAGACAGTACCTAAACCCTAAACCCTAAACCCTATACCCTAAACCCTATACCCTAAACCCATCTAAACCCTAAACCATGCTGTTGGTCACTGCATCTCCGGCCTGGCCATCTGGGAATCAGTCCCCGTGCCAGCAACCTCCCGAGCGCACAAGCGACTGAGCTCGGGAGATTGACGCCCCCATCTGCCAAGAGAGATGATCTGAATGGTCCGCTGCATGGTGCGATTCTTTTAAGATTACTGACTACAACATAAGTTACTTGACAAATTGTTGATTTATGATGTTTGTTCTCGCGCGCGCGCGCGCGCGCGTGTGTGTGTGTGTGCGCGCGTGCGGGTGCGGGTGCGGGTGCGGGTGCGTGTGCGGCTGCATGTTTGTGTTGGTGTTGGTGTTGGTGTTGGTGTTGGTGTTGGTGTTGGTGTTGGTGTTTGTGTTTTGTGTTTGTGTTTGTGTTTGTGTTTGTGTTTGTGTTGTGTTTGTGTTTGTGTTTGTGTTTGTCTGTGTGTGTGTGTGTGTTTGTTTTGTATTTGTCACGGCCTCTTCTGCGATGCTCTCTTCGATTCCAATGCCCAAATTGAGGCCCGAACTGGAACTGGCCGAAATCCGCCCGTGTTTATCCTGTTCAGGAAGTCCTGAGAGGAAATTCATGCGCTTGACATGACATGACACATGGCTTCGCAAGCGCGAGTGGCGTCCTGATCCTCGGCGGTGTTCAGGGCCTCCGCACATTTTTATGCATGTCCTAGACCCTAAACCCTAAACCCTAAACCCTAAACCCCAAAGACTAAACCCAAAGACTAGACCCTAAACCCTAAACCCTAAACCCTGAACCCCACGTGCGTATTATCGCCTCGTCCTGCGGCCTCAAGCGGTGCAGGAGCCAAGCCCAGGCCTCTCGGAGCGGAGGAGCGGAGGAGCGGGAAGCAAGAAAGCGCCGTGAGCGGCAGGTAACCCAAAAAGTGTGTGTCTGCAATTTGCTGAGTCTCTCTTCTTGAAATATAATATTATATATATACTTATTTATTTATTTATTTATTTATTTGTTTATTGATTTAGATTTATTTCTTTATGTTTTGTTTTTCGCATGCCCCGTGGCCTCACTAAACATACTCATCTCGGCAAGACGAGGGAGACCAGCAGCGCCGACAACCGGCAGAAACAGCCAGGGAAGGACTTTTGCCAATTGCAAAGTTCTGCGAATCTACGTGTGCTTGGCTGCCGATGTCGATATCTGAGCAATTCTGACCCTTTTAAGCCAAAAAGCTGCTGGAAACGCGTGACGGTGATGCGACTTTGCAACTGTCACAGGTAGTTCAACTCAATGCCTGCCCATGAGAAAACGGGCAAAGTTTAAGTAGAAAAGGAGGTTGACGAGCAAGAAGCGCGAAGTTCAGAAACTACCGGCCAGTGAGCAGCTTGTTCTCACAAAGCAGAAACATTAAAGATCGTCATAATGAAGCATAGCTCCAGCACACATGGTCTTTGCATGTGCAGAGTAGAGGCCTTGTGCATAGGAGACAGTCTTGCCTTCATCGTGCCCGCGAAGCAGCGGTGCGTTAGGGGAAAACACGCACCGACGGATGCTCACTGGCTGCCGGCCAACCATCGACGGAAGGAGATGTAGTTCTGGCCGGCGCGAACGATAGCTTCAGAGGAATAAGTTCTCATCAGCTCCGAAACTTGGGGCCTTGTTCGTAGGGTCCAGCTGCAGAGCTGCAGCCAACATCTCCTGGCAAGTGCTGCAAGCGTCCAAATTGTCCAAAAGCAGCTGCTGAACCTTTGGACTCGGTTGGGACCTTGGCAGTGTCGACGTTCCCAGCATGCGCCTGTGGAGATAAACTCAACACACGTGAGCCATCATCTGGGATGTTCCCCCTTGTACTAGCAGTACTTCATAGGCATTCTAGTACCCCCCACCATAATCCCTACGTTCCTAAGCGCCACAAAGGGCTTTTGGTATAAGGGGGAACAGCCCAAAGCATCATTTCTTACTTTCCCGAGTCTTTCCTCCCTCGGCCTCCAGCTGTGCTAAGTTGGCAAGGCATCCATGCTGCGAGCCGTCGACAGCGACGGCCTTCTGGTAAGCACCCCGGGCCTCGCAAGCCACAGATCACACGGGGGGTTTTACGAACATATGGGACACCGAATGTCGACCCGCATATATAGTAGGATTCCCTGAGAATAAGGAGCCAAAGAAGGTACCCCTAATTTCGGAAACCACCACATGCCAGCCACAGCCAACCGACAGTTGCAAATCGCCTTCTCGAAGTTCTTTTGTCGCTGGTGAAATTGCCCTATTCGAGCCCACGCGCGCGATGTCCTTGTCAAGTTGAAGCCGCTCTTTCCGTCAAGTACGCCTTGCAAGGTTCCCTGAGACATTGACTGGTGGTTGTCAGAAGCACGCTCCAGGCTCTTGAGCAACTCCTGCATGCAACTCGCTGCACCAGAACTTTTGTTTAGAATGAACCAGAGAACTTTGCTGCCTTCGCTGCTCCAACCCTTACTGCAATACGTAAGCAGCGAAGAAATACGAGCCTCTGGAACATCACAGAATGGCATGGAGTGGGGCGTGCGTGAATTTCGAGAGGACGGAGACGGACCTTCACTGCCAGGGCATGCGCATTCTTCTAGGTTTCGCGCAGCAACGTACAAGTACAAGTCACAAGGGCCATGGCGATGGCTACTGCTGGCTTCCTTGCTCCTATTCGAAATGCTGAGGCTGCGTCCCCCTGCAGAGCTGTGAGCTCTTGGATGCCTGAGGTCCTGCGCTGCACTCTTCGTAGAGTCTCTCGTACACAACCTGCGTAGCAGCTCCTCCGAAGGCGAGCTGCTCGCACATGTCCTGCGGGCATGCACATGCCATGTTGCCTCCGATATACTATCGTTCCCGCAAGGAATATGCGCGAACTCTGAAAATTTACATCCTGCGGCCCCTCATTGTTTACGGCTTCCCGGAATAATGCAAAGCTCTGCGGTCGGGCATGCCTGTTCACAAAACTCGATTAAACAAGAACAATTCTTAAGGTTGGCTTTTGCTTTGAGGGCATCAGGGCCGTTGAGACAGCAGGGCTGCTGAAAGGTACTGGTCGAGCCCGGTTGAGCCGCGGACTTCTACATTGGCACTGGAACGAAGCAAGAGGAAGCTAAGGACAACTTTGGCAAGCTTCACAGATTATGGGCCCAAACTCTCAAAGTTCAGACACATCGCTTTCGCCTTAAGACTCAGGAACTCCCCTATCCAAATCTAGGAGGCTCATGAGACCTCAACAATACGGACCGGAGTTCTGCTGAATACATGTCGTAGTTCTGTCTGTCCTTGGAGAGGATAAGGTTGGCGGTTCCTGATCTCGGGATGTCGAGTTGACCTGCAACTCTTTCAAGTGACTACCGCATTTCGGCATTCTCACAGCAACCTAGCTTCAAGGTCGGGCTTGACTTGAACGGAGCGTCGTAGACTCGTATCGACCGAGTCCTTCAATAAGCTGCCCTGCTGACCTCGACTCTCAAGCAACAGTCCGAGAGCTGCGGAACATTTTTCCTCCCGGCACCTGTTGCAAAGCCCTCTCTGCCACTCAGGGAATGGGTATTGCAGCGGCATTGTGCACCAGCAGGCAATGGTTGCAGCGTGACAGTCGCACACGGCGTTTTGGTGGCAGCAGCAGGAACTACGGATCCTCTACCAGTTTCCATAGCGCGGCGCCCGCATCCTACTTCTCACGCCCTTGATCATGATACCGTCAATGGTGGCAGGAATCCAGCCGTAGCAGCTGGAGAGCCAGGAATGGGCTTTTGTGAAGAAGCCAACCTTGACGCCAGCGATCGTGGCTTCAAGAATCTTGTTCGCAGCTTGACTTGTGGGTTCTGCCACACTGTCCAAGAACTCGGCCGCCACATCATTCCCGAATTTCAGCCGGCTTGAGTTCAAAGAGGTAGAGACCTCGCCTGGACATGTCAGAACCACGGCCGGTGAGTTGCTCCCATATGCATCCAAGAGTTCTGTGCGCAGGGAAGCACAAAATCCATGAAGTGCCCACTTCGAGGCACAATAAAAGGTACGGAAAGGGACACCGAACAATCCAGCTATAGAAGAAACCACCACGATCCTGGAGTCACTGCGCTTTGGAATGTAAGGCAAGGCATAGAAAAGCACATTTGCTGTTCCCATGAAATTCACATCCATGAGTTTGTCTGCATCTGACAGATCCTTGATATCTTCGAAGTAGCATCCCATGCTGACCCCCGCATTGAGGATGATGATGTCCACCGTCTGCATCTCGTTGGTGGCCCCAAGAACAGCTTCTCTGCATGACGCGCGGTCCGTAACATCGCAGCGAAGAGGGAGCACCTTTGCCTGGTTACCTGATGCCAGTCGGCACTCTGCTGCTACTTCTTCGAGTGCTTCCACGCGACGCGCAAGGAGGGCAACGTTCGCTTTGTGTCGGGCAAACTGCAGCGCAAGCTCTTTCCCAATGCCAGCACTGGCACCAGTAATCAGGACATTCTTCCCGGCTAGGTCCATGCTTTGACTATGTTCACAAAACAAATGACAATGGCTGCAGACCAAGGAAAGGATAAGGAGAACTCGCAGAGTTGCAAGGAAGGCTGTTGCAAATCTTGGGTCACGAAAAGGGCAGCCTCCTCCCTTGGCGCTTGTTCGGCCTGGACATGTGCTCCCAGACAGAATCCATCTTAAGCCATTCTAGGCCCATTCCCTGGCCATTCCCAGCCCAGGCCGAACCTCGATCCCCTCAACTTCCTCAGTCACTACCTGCGTTGGCAACAGGCCAAGACAGGGTAGGATTTGGCTACTACGAGATTCCACGAGGTTCTGTTGAAGCTCTGCATACCCCTGCGCCCGAACCTCGTGAATGGTTTCCAAGAGCGTCGCTGAGCGGCCTTCAACAAAAGGCGTGGGTGGCAGTGTTACAGCTTGGGCTGCCAGATTGCTTCCCAAAGTGGCAAAGTTCTTGGATGTGCTTGGCGCCTTCCAGGCAGTCCTGCCAACTGTCACCTCCGTCCATGCCTCGTGCACGCGCGAGGCTGCACCATCACTCCACTCCAAGTCTGCAAAAACGGCCTCCGTGGTAGTCCAAACAGTCTCTCTCCTTCGGTGGTCTGCTTTTGACTTTCTGAACTTGCTTGGGCGCAAGAGAGGTTTTATGTCTGCTGGCAGTCTCCCGGGCACCCGTCCTGCAAAGTAGCCCACTCCAGCAGGAAACCTCGCCAGAAAGGTGCTCCTAATTCTATGCTCATATATTGACTCATACTGACTCACACAAGTGGTACATCGGATTGAATCAATTGGAGAATGGCTCAAAAGGATCGCCTGGCGGATTGGGCACCTGGAGGCCCTGCTTGGCATTTTGCTGCATCTTCTGCCACTCCTCAGGCGCTGCGCGGCTTGATGTGTCTCATGAAGTCATGAAGCAGCCTTCAAAGTGGCTCACAAGCACAAACAGCACAGAAACGCAAGACGACGATGTACTTTGAGGCTTGATGGCTCATAATGCCCACCTCGAGCCAAAGCTGCTCCTGGTGCTTGAGGTCCTCTGGGCCAAGCGAATTCGTGAGGAGGCAACCAACTACAAGTGATGCGCGCCAGGCTTCGAACTGAAAACCCTGAAGCCTACCTGCTGCTCTTATGTGAAGCAGACGGGCCTCGTGCAATGCGGCGATTTCTCTGGAGGCCTGGCACGAGCACCACTTTTCATCTTTACACCACATACCCACAAGCAAACCGCCGACAGCACTTGTAGCTGAACGTAAAATGACGTAAAAGCGGGGCCTCCTCTCGCCCACGGATCAACTCTTCTGACCACAAAGAATAATCCTCGCAGTGCTGCTTCTCCATCTTCTCTTGCTGCTCGGTCATGACGGCAATCTGTTCCTGGCCCCAAGGGCTCCATGGCCATTGTACAGTAGAGTGAGCAGTGCGTAAAGTGAATATCGTTGAATGTCCACATATTTTCGGTTGCCGCAGTCCTGGTACCTCACCTGCTGCTCAACAACTTCTGCTGCCAATTCTCGCACCTGCGACTGGCATCAACACTGATTCAAAATGCACAGCCTTGTTTGCACATCTGCTTAAAACAAGCTTGCAGCTTCAGCTTAGCAAGACACGGCGTCCGAACAGCTGCTGCGTGCCTGCTGCTCCATCCGCTGCAAAGCTTCTGAGTGCCGCTCTTCTTGCGCAGCAACCAACACAGCCTGCAACTCATTGCTCAAAGCTGCTCAAAGCTTGTACGCAGATTGTGATCATGAGTCGTCGTGGGGTGCGCAGACCTCTTCTTCAAGCCATTGCTCGAGCAACCTTCCACAGGACGCTACCAGTACCATGGGCAAGCATTGTATAGTGTCAGCACGAGGGGAAAACCTGCAGCGCAGATTGAGCAGTTCGAGAAGTACCTGCTACGCACGGCTCATCGGGTCTGCATGCTGCAGGCTAGTGCAATCTCGTGTGTGGATCAAGATGGGCAAAGGTCACTCTGTAGTGGTTCACGCGGACGTCACTCACATCTGCATCCCGCACCTCTAGGACTCTCGGATTTTCTCGTCATTGAACAAAAAAAGCAAGGTACTGCTCCAGCTGGTTGCCGCATGGTGCAGTATACTGACAGAATCACATGATCGCTGGCACCTCTTGTGGCTGCTTCATGACTTGCTGCAACTGGTACTCGCTCTGCCTGGCCGAATGTACGGCGAAGAGTCGAGCAAACAACAGCCAGGTGGTGGTAGGTATTGTCCAATGTACCAGAAACCTGTAGCATGGGCTTTTGACATGGTGCAGTGCTCGATTTTAAGTGGAAACACCAAGAGCGATGGAAACATGCCCTGCAGGACAGGTGCATGACTACTTGCCTTTAGGACCTCCCGAACACAACGTGTAGAAAAAGGGCAGCCCATCATTGCATACCGTGTGCAACCAGTGAAGTTGCAGTGGCCGTGACGGTCTCAGCGCATCAGACGTCATCACCCAAAAACAGAAGTGTGAATCGGGGGTGCATTCTGCTCGTCAACTTTGCTACATGCTAGAGCGCATCTGCCCTGACTGCCCAGTTTGGGAAGTTATGACCCAGCTGACGGAGTATTGGGGCACTCATGATAAGCCACTCGGTATTCACATCGGGTACCCGGTAGTACCTTCGTCGGAGCGTCGGCTACCAGGTCCTTTCTTGCACATTCCCCCTGATCCATGAACAGTGAGCGTCATAGAGCCGTGTACGCCATGTAACCGGATTGAAAGTCGGACGATGTTGGATTCGCAACCATTGTGACTTCACTGTCCGTGTCACTCACCCGATCGGATCATCGGTGCTCACATGCCCACAAAGACACCACAGCTTGTAGGTCTGTCCGGGTTGTCAGCGAGCCCCGCATTAAGGTCCCCACTCTTTGGAGCATTTTTCTGCAAGCCAAGACCCCCCTTCTCCTTAGCCTTAGCAACCTGGGGAACTTTTGCAAACTCACAAGGCGCATGGCGCACCAACGCCCGGCCCAGCCCCCCATAGCTTTACTCGAGGTCCATTTGCCGGGGGGGAACCGAACCTACGCCCGCAAAAGTGAGGGGTACGGAGGAGTGGTGTTCGATGGAAATGATCTCCGGGTCTGTTGACCATGGACCCATGTGTCGGTCCTCACCTTTTGTACCACACTACGAGTAGCATTGTACCAGACTCGGCCGTGCGGGAACTTGTGGCAATCTTTTCGCGCGAACTCTGTGGCCATCCTTTGCCAGTGCTACAGGGTAGCCTTGTGCCGACGATTGCTCTTCGACTTTGCGCTACCATTGCACCGCCCTCTTCGTTTGGGACGGTCGAGCTGACCGGCATCCTGCTGCGCAAACTGAACAGCTCTACCACGGGGAATGCCCCCTTACCCCCCTCTTACCCGTAAGCTAACGCTCGGAATGCAGGCTAGGCGCCCGCTAGGTATCATGATTCAGACTGGAAGGCTTCTGAATTCTCTACACATGCAGCATCAAGCAGGCTTCTGTGCGGACTCAGCTGTTCCAATGCGGCCTCAGGGCAGACATGGCCCAGTCGCGCTCTCGCTCAGCTGATGTGAGCCGTTCCTGGCATAAGCTTTCTCAACAGCAGCCTTCGAATACGCCCCCCATATGAGGGGCTTCCGAAATGAGGGGCACCTTATCGGGGTGCATATTATAAGGGGATGCTACTATTTGGGGATCTATAGTGGGGGTCCCCTATTTTCGTAAACCTCCAGATTACGTCACCCCAAAGAGCCTCCAGCCGCCGCAAATCTTCTTGGAAAGAGAGCGCCTGGGGCATCGTGGACAAGCACTTCAATCCCAATGTGTGCTGCATCATGGGCACTTCTGCATTCGACTCATTTGCACCTCTTCCTGCTTGGCACCAGGAGAAACTGCACGCCGCCCTCTGGCTGTCAGGGCCTCGTCTACCGACGTGTGGGATGGGGCTCGGAAGGTGTTGCCAAACGAGGACGCAGCTGTCCCTGATGATGGCCAGACTGACGTATGCTTCACTGGCTCTTTGGCCGGAGCAGGCCTGGATTGCGAGAACTTGCCAGCCGACAAACGTCCACAAGCACTGCCGCGAATTTTGATTCAGGAGCAGACGGCGTTGCTGGTACAGATCTGGAAATTCCAGTGGCAATCTGGTCGTGTTTGCGCTGGGTCCTTGCAATGCGTTCTAAACGCGCGTGCTTCGACTGTTGGAGACTCGCATGCGCCGGCTCTTGCACGTGGGCGCGCTTCTTTTCTCCTCCTGCGATCTTCACATGTCGGAGATGCTCTTGAGCTGCTCGCAACCGCTGCTTGCACAGGCGGGAGTGTTTCGGAGCTTGCTGTACAGCTCGTTTGCTCATTAACCAGGACCGCCGAAAAGCGGCAAGGAAATGTACAACTTTAAAGAGGGTATCAAGAGGAATCCACCAAATTTGCCACGACTGCATCAGCACAGTCCATGCACAGTCCAGTTGCATTCTTGCATGGTGCTGTCAGTCCAGTTTATGGTGGGTCGGTCGCACAAAGCAGATTCCCAAATGCTGAAGTAATCATGTGCTCGAGCTCACTCTACACGCAGACAGAAACCTGCTTCTAGCCAGCCCTCTTGGAGCCCTTGCATTACATGTTCTCTGCAACCACTCTCCTGTTGGAAGCGGGGCCGGAACACAAGCATATGGGCGAATGAATTCTGGCGACAGACGTGCCAATACCCAGAACCGCTCCACTCGAACCATTCGAGCTGTCAGTGTATCATGACGCCGCGAATCTACGGTCCCTTCTTTAAAGCTTGTGTGCGAGTGGAAGCTGGAGGAAGATAGGAACCCACAGCTGTCTTTGGCCCATGGCTATCTGGCATTCCTCTCAGCCTCCCTTTGCTCATACATGTTCTTGATGCCTGCGTGGACTCAGAAGACTCAGAGCACAAACCCCAAGGATGGTGAGCAGACCGGATACACATCAGCTTTTGCAAATGAACCTCTTTACTCCCACTTAGAACCTTAATAAAAACAACATTCTTAATATCCACAATTGGGTTTTATATAAACAATGAAATCGAGAATACTTCCCAAGGGCGATGTGAACCTTGCAGCACGTTGCATCCGAGGCGCTGCTCAGGAGCTCGTCCGCGAGCCGCTGCACACGCTCCTCAAGACAGTCGGGTGTACTGAGAAGGTTTAGGGTTTAGGGTTTAGGGTTTAAGGTTTAGGGAAGTGGCTGGTTTTAACTGTGACAGCTTTGACAGATTCGCTCTGAGACGTGTTGCGGCATGGCCTGGCGCATTTTCACCACCATTTCGAGGCCATGTCGATGGGACCTGCAAGCAGGTTTGATGGTTTTAGCTGCTCTGCTGAAAGAGCGCGAATGCATGAACACTTTGATACCGAGTCTGCCAGAGCATCGGGGATATCTGAGGCGAGGATGTGTTTTCAGAGTCCCTCAAAAAAGGCCGGCTTGAACTTAACTTGAACCAACCTTTTGTGGGTAGCTGAGGCCGTCCGACTTTTTCGGCGATCAATTCAATCATTTCTACACACTTTGAATTGTGGTGCTTCGTGTCGAGTGTCGAAAGCCTCCCCTCGACATGGCACCCACTGGGAGCTGAGCAGACACTCTCGAATGACCGACGTTGCAGTCTGCAAGGGCATGATGGTGGTGACAGGAGTCAAAGTGGTGAACAGATGTGTCTGGCACTGGATTGCAGAACTGCTCGGGAGTTGGTCATAGTTCATGCGCTTCTCAGTCGGTGTGCCGTTTTGGAGAAGTAAGCCGCTTCAGCTACGCTCTTAGCAGTTTCTCGGCGGGCTGATGGTTGAGTCGATCGAGTGCTTCAAAAGCTAGTGCAGTTGCTCGAGAAGCCACTCAGGATAACAGCATTGACCGAACAGTCAAGTGTGAGACCTCCCGTTGATCCCACCCCGGAGCAAGAAACCCCAGAGTTTCCCCAAAGAAGTTTGGAGACCAGTATCCCCGGAAAATGCCTGGAGTGTCCAGGCTCAAGAGCTGCCCAACCCCAGAGTGCAGAGCATCACCAGCGAATCCCTGGAGTGCCCAGCCTGGAGTGCCCAACTCCAGAGTGTCCCCAGAAGTTCCCTAGGTTGCCCCAGAGAAACCCAGAGTATCCCCAAAGAATCCATCTGCACAGAATCCCTGGAGAGCCCAACCGCAGTATCCCCAGAGAATCCCCTGAGCATTAAGCCCGCCGTACATGGTTTCGACGCTGCTGTTGGAAATGCACTTAGCTCACCCGTGCATGGTTTCGACGTTGCGCTGGGAGATGTAGTAACATGGTTTCTGTCCTGGAGAGGTATTACAAAGCAGGTTTTTGATCCTGAACCAGAGTGGCGCTTCGCCTAAGGCTAAGCATCAATTTTCCGGCTGACGAGGTACCGTTCAGGACCTGAACCGAATCCCAGCGGGGTCGAGCCCCAATTTGCACGCACCCCAGCTGGGCCACACCCCTGTTGTTCAACCTTACGGTTGGGTAAGAAACTCGGCTAGCTCCCACCTTAAACCCTAAACCCTAAACCCTAAACCCTAAACCCTAGACCCTTCGTGATTTGGGATGTGGGCTCAGCTGAGGGAGCCGCTTCAGCGTCTCCTGGTTTCGCTCCACCGACCTGGAGCCGCTTTATGAGCCCACATGATGCAACGATGTCCTAGGTACCTAAACCCTAAACCCTAAACCCTAAACCCTAAACCCTGAACCCTGAACCCTAAACCCTAAACCCTAAACCCTAAACCCTGTAAACCCTAAACCCTGAACCCTGAACCCTAAACCCTAAGCCCCCTACCACAACGACCGCAGGTCAAACTCACACCACATGCCGCCACGGGGCTCTTGGAGGCACTTGAATCGAGCAGTCAAGGAGTTGACCGAAGATGGCCTACCGGACGCTCTTGGAGTCGTCTAGTAGAGTGGGGGGGGGGGGGGGGGGTTTTAGAAAGGCTTTCAGGGCTGATTTAGAGTTTGGGGCTTGAAATTCTAAACAGCCTGGCTTTAGCCCGCCCAACTATCTTTTCTAGAACATGGTTTATGACAAACTGCTGCCGCAAATATGGATACCATAGCTTTCGTTCTGGTGTTGCTCTGCAATGGGGTTCGTGTCAAGGACAGGCGCGCATGCCGCAAAAACGCACAGCCTGGAGCTTCTTCTGCTGGTTCCTGAACAGACATGCGAGTTCGCGAGCGCCCCCGAAAATGCAACAAGCGCAATTGCTGTGCCACGCGTCGCCAGACACGCAACTTCGCAGCTCCTCGTGATAGAGCCGACTTGGGTCGCCTTGACACTCATGTGACTTGCCGACGCCTTACCGAAAGCCCTTGCCGTGGCACCCGTGCGACAAAGAGGAAGCCGGGCGAGATGGCCTGGGGCCGAAGTGCTTGTGCTCTCTGTTCTGTGTAAAGCGTGAGCATGTCCATGCTGCACACAATCAAAGATATACTACAGCCGTGTGGCCACGTCGTCGAGGCAGATGTTGGTCTTGGATCACACCTCGCCAGCGCCAGCAACAGCAAAAAAAAACCGAATCAAAACCGAAGGCCAAGGCAATTCAGGGGGCCTCTTGGTATCTCCAAGCTGTGCAATCCCGGGCTTGGAGATGCCCACACCAGCAGACTGGGGCCTTGCAGGTCGCTCACTGTCTGCCCTTTGCATGGTCCGTGCTTCCGCTCTCCGAAATCTTCCCTTCGAATCCCAAATCCTTCCGAGATCTTCCGAGCCTCACCGTGGCTTCGTCCGTCGCTTGGCTTCCAGCTTCCGCCCTGACAAGATACAGAACGCCACACAGTTTTAACCGTTCTAGAACTGCGTGACCCATCAGCCAGACCACAGACGGTTCTAGATGAAGACTCAAGCATCGGCACCTTTGTGTTGCTCATCTTTCATGCAGCATTGCACGTTCTGACTTAGTATGGCCAACCGTTCGACCGAGACTCTCAATCATACCATGTCCAGAGCATTGCCTCAAGTCCATATCTTGCTGGCGGCGTTTGTCCTATCAGAGCGTCCGGGGAAGCCCTGTCTCCCACAGACTCACTCTTTGAATGATGGCTACGCGGGCGGAGCCTTGGCATCGTCCACTCTGGCCTTGGACACAGCCGCCTTCTGCATGGCCGTACCTGACGTAGCTCGGGTCGCAGACCCTGAGAATATGAGGGTTTCTCGCGGCAAATGTTTGCTAGATGGTCGTGCAGACAAGCTGGGGCCCCACCCATCCAGCGAGAATTGCGCTGAATCTCTCCTAGGCTCCAAACTGTTCCGAGGCAGCTCTGTTTTGTTCTGGTCGTGGCTTTCTGCAACATCGTGCTTCCCTGGAACATGAAACCCGAGTTCCACCAGAACAAACTCCACGACATCAAACTATTCTCAGCGGGCAACGACATTTCTCGTTGACACTGACGCTCTCGGGTTCTGCTTCCTGATGGCGCATCCTCTAAACAATGACCTGAAAGAGTGCCCCGGCTGCACCTCCTCCACAACCTGGTTCGCGGCGTGTGTCAAAGCCTGCACCGGCGACATACGGAGACTCAGCAGTCTGCGGGCTCTAAATCTGTGACCAACACGATGTAACGGTAGTGCAACAGCATGTCAATGTATATGTCACCTGGCTGCCCGACACCTTCTGCGGTCCTTTCGACTGCTCGGCAGCCTGCCAAGAACTTATGCGTGACGACAGGCTTCCGCGTGGCAAAAGCCAGCCAGGGCCTGTCGAACTGCCAAGATGCAATCAAGAACCTTTCTGTGGTCACCCAGCACCTGAGCTCAAAACTCGACCCAATATAGCACCACAAATACGGGGGCCGCGACCTCGTGATTGCTCTCTGCATTGTCCTCCATGGCGGAGATGCGGTCCTGTCACAGCGAAGAGGCTTGGATTTACACACACCTTTGGCATGTCACTTTCCCATCCTTCATGCTCTGAAACTCTTTGGGGCGAGGCTGTACCTTGAAAACTGAGTCGTCATGCCAGTCACCGACCGGAATGCAAAAGGTCTTCCACTCAGGGCCGAGCAGGGTCCAAATGGCGGGCCTTGGAACATGCGGCATGCAATTGCGGCATGTTATGGCATACGCTCTTGTGGCTTGTGGAGCTGAAGATGCACCTCAAGTGCCAGGCTGGCTTGAGCTCGCTGAGCACGATAGTGTCAGCATTTGGCCTTCTGAGCTTCAGAGGCGATGCCATGGCAGACAAGATTTATCCGGCCCTTGTCTCAAGGGATGTGCAGGCAAAGCGCTTCAACTCTTCCATCATCCGCCGCGCACTTGCCTTTCTTCTTTCCACAACCTGCAGAACAGCAAACTGTCATAAGGGAGGCAGGTGGAGGCACCGTAAGGTGGAGAGTGCAGGGGACTGTGCATTGACATGATGCAGGCCTCATCGATGCCCTGACGATAGGCACCTAGTTGGGACAGATATGAAAAAGCCAGGAGCCCTCAGATGCAAGCCCAGACGCAATTGCATGAGACCGGGACGCATCTCTTCGAGATTCCGCAGCATGTTTTCCTGCGAAGTGTAGGATGCAGGAAAAAGCGCATCCCTTGTGTTTGCACAGACATGAAGCAAAACAAAAGTTCCGCTTCGAGCCTGCACATTCTGACATCTTTGCACCACCTCTTCGAGAAGGAAACAAACATCCTTCTGTCTAACCGGGGTGCAGCACTTGTCGCACTTCATTGCACGTAGGCAAATCGTCTATGATTCAATGATGCCAAGAAGCTGTGCCACGAGTTTCTCTGCTGGGCTGCCATCTGCCCATTCGGCCGACTGCTCAGTAGAGGCCCTACCGCTACCGAACTGCGACTCAGCTGTAAGGGATTAGAGTTTGAGCAAGGAAGGCCCGGCAGTCCCGGAATGCTGGTCGAGCTGTTAGCGACGAAGTCGCCTCCTTAACAGTAAGTTCACGCGAAGGCAAGTTGCCAAGCACGTCCTGACAGTGTTGGTTCTGGCTGGCACTGCCGGGCTCGGCGCAGCCTTGCGCGGGCTTCCATCCATCCACATTTGAGCAGTGCTTGGGCAGAGCTGGGCCGATGGCGGAGGCCTTCAACGCCTTTCCGCGACTTGTAGCCTGCGCTACCTGCACAGGTTCTGGCACAGACATGCCGCTTGGAGAGGCTAAGGTGGAGCTGTAGCCGCTTATCGGGTACTGGTTTTGCTCCAGGCTTTCTTTTTGTAGCCATCTGCCTCGCCGGAGAAGCGGCTGCGCGTTAGACGGCCTGAAATCCGAAGCATTGCGAAGCGTCGACATGCAATTGCGAATCATCACCCCGACTGCCTGCAGATGCGGATCTGCACCTTGCAGCTGGAGCCTGTTGGGACATGTTGGAGTAGCCATCCATCACAAGCATATCAGCTCTCTTAGGGCGCATGGTGAACATATGTGCACATGTTGCTGGACCAAAGCCCAGTCGATATCCAGACCCATGGCTCCCGATCTTGGAGCCCGACAACACATGACGTGGAAGCCGGGGGGCTTGCCACGATCACCTTCCGTGAACAGGCCGACAAGGATGCAAAAAAACAATGCGAAACCATGCGAAACCGACCATCTGAGAACCAGGCCCGGGCAGAGCGCATGCAGGTAGATGGTGTCAATGTGATGTCTACATCTTCGTGTGAACACCGCTTCGTACCGCTTGGCAAGAAGTCTTACCAATGGTTCGGTCATTGTTCTGTTGAAGGTATATGTGGGCAGGGTTGGGTAGTCAAGTAGTAGTCAAGTCAAGTGGTTTCTTTGGCCAACAGCTACAGAAGCATATGTGGGGAGGCATGCCGCGAGGTGCACCCCGGTGGTCGCCGACTGAAAAAGAAGCTCCGGCCCAAGCTTTTGACTTACAGTGGTCCTCATGCGGGCAAGTGTCGGAACTTACTTCACGTGGCAGTGGCCTTGCTTGGCCAAATGTGGCATGACTTTGCGACTTTCGTGGAGCTATATGTGTTCGTATTATCAGGTGCGTGTCGGTGCGTGCAGGTGCGTGCTAGGTGCGTGCTAGGGGCGCGCTAGGTGCGTGCTAGGTGCGTGCGAGGTGCGTGCAGGTGCGTGAAGGTGCGTGCAGACGAGTGCAGGTGCGTGCGTGCGTAGGTGCGTGCGTGCGTGTGTGCGCGAGCGCGTCTGTGGGTGTGCTCGCGCTTGTCTGTATTTCCCCGGTAAAACTTGTCATTGCCCCGCTTCCCAAAAAAAATGAACTAATCCGAGCTTCTGATTAATTGGTGGGGCCCTCCCCCCCCCCCTCCACAATAAGGAATGCAGGGTTCCGCAATAGTTGGACCATGGCCCTGTGTTGATTCTCTATTAAAAACAAAAGGCTGCAGATCCCTGAGGTGCTGTAGCTTTGCGTCTCCGCAAGCAAAACAAGAAGCCTGCCGACAGATTTTTGAACCCCCCAAAAAAAATTCCTTTAAATGTGGGGGGTTTGTCCCATACGAAATCCACCCTAATGGAAAGTAGTCTTCCGGCGGGCTTCCGGCCAAAAAAAATTTCTTTAAATGTGGGGGTATTAATTAAACTGATGCTCGGATTAAGACAGACATCCGAAGCCGGGGACGAGGCGTATTCTGCACTAGGGGATTTCAGGCGGTCCCGACTTAAGCCTGTCTATCACTTTCCGTCACCACAACTACGTACACTTGCTTGTGTTCTTTGATCGCAAATTCAACAACATTCTTGATACTCTTGCAACACCCCTTGACAGCACGCTGGCAAGAATTCAATGGGTGCTCGGGCATGGCTGGGCATAATTCAGCACGGGAATTTCAAAGATCCGAAAGACTCAGAGACACTCACAGCAGACCTTTTTCATCAGGATCGCTGCTGTCGCGCCTGTTTCACGCGCTCCTCAGGAGAGCCGTTTCATGGGCATAGACATGCTCTTTGGATTTCAGATTGATTCCCGAAACGAGGAGTCATGGAAACACCATCAAAACAGCCACGATTCTACCATGAACATGGACGTACAAGACCCTCAAGTCCCGAGATTGTGGTGCGCGCGAGCTCCTCCAAGGCGGACCGATGCTCGGGCGACAGATTTGCCAACTGGTGTTCCACCTGTCACAAGCACCCGGCACATGAAGGAAGGCTTCATCACCACCACTATGCTGTGCTGTGTGCACGTCATGTCCCTGGCTCAAGTGATAAAGGTTGATAAAGTGGTTCTAGACTGGCGAGGCACACGGAAGTGCGAATTCGACGAACATGCGGCAGGCCCACGGCCAGACTTCGGTGACTTGGGCACGCTTGGCTTGGCTGCGCTGACTGCTACAGTACCCGCCCTACCATGGTCGTAGTTTGTTGAAGCCACCAATTGTTGCGTAATTCTTTCATGGATCGCAACCTCTGAAAGCCCACAGCCTTTCCGAACAAAAAACAGAACATTGACGTGCTCCTTACAGATGATCTTGCGCTGTCCTCGGGCCCTGCCTCGGGCGAATCCCAATTCGATGCCATCAAGGCCAAGGTGGCTCTCTCCAGCAGCGTTGCGTGATGCCTCCACACAGGTTCGGACACATCACATGTAGACCCTTCCCGGATGCTTGCTGGCCGGCATGTGCCGTTTGACAGCTTCACTTGCGGAGGGATGCACTGTCATGCTCTCCTTGCAAAGTGAGGTGCCTGGAAGCTAGCTTGAGCATTTCAGCGCAGTCCTCAAGATCCTCTTCAAGCAACACATAGCTGCACACACACAAGATCAACTTGATCAGGGCACGAGCCCCGCTCCGGCAATCTGCGACTTCACGACAAGGCGCCGGCTACTTCTGCGAGTAGCACTTAGTGACTTAGTGACTTGGTTAGCTTTTTCCACCGCCGCCCTGCGCCAGCTATCTCAACTGGTCGTTGTGGAGAGAAACAGCGACTCGCCGTCGCCTTCAAGAAGCGCATTGCTCACATGATCTCGGACTTGACCACGAGCTGACAGCTTCACCGATGCATTTAGCAAAGCAAGTGCTCAATGTCCGGCAAGTCAGGAGATTCAAAAGCCGGGCCTCATCTGGACCTATGCCGAAGTGTATTCGGAAGTTCCGTTGACGTTCACATGGATTCCGTTGCTCTGCTGCGACTGGATCTCTTCGTCACAGTCAGTCAGGGCTTCACCGCTCTTGTCAGATCTCTCCTCCATTTGGCCAGATACTCAGCTTTGCATACTCACATCTTCCACGAGTCTTCGAGGAACACAGACTGCACACAAGGGGAATGAGAGGGGATATATGGCTATTTCCCAAAATACGGATGCCATGCCCCTGATACACACCAAAATACTAGAATCCTGACAGAGGGAACCCCCCAAAAGGGTACAAGCACCCTTGTTTTCCGAAACCCCCATGTAGATATGTATATATATATATATATTGATTGGAAATAAATCAAACGAAAACAAGAAAAGCATCAGACGCACGCAAAGACAGATATCCCCCCTCTCCCACACACAAATACACAAAAAAACAAACCACAAAAAGACAAACAAACAAACAAACAACCAAACAAACAAACAAACAAAACCCAGATAGACAGACAGACAGACGGACGGACGGACGGACAGACAGACACACACACACACACACACATACACATCCGGGCGCGCGCGCGCACACACGCAGACAGGCAGACACGCAGACACGCAGACACGCAGACACGCAGACACGCAGACACACAGACACACAGACACACAGACACACACACACACACACACACACACACCTACCTACCTACCTACCTACCTTCCTTCCTACCTTCCTACCTTCCTACCTTCCTACCTTCCTACCTACCTTCCTACCTTTCTACCTTCCTTCCTACCTTCCTACCTTCCTACCTTCCTACCTTCCTACCTTCCTACCCTACCTCACCCACGTCCGCCCACCCGCCCGACCGCCTGCCCGCACTCACGCGCCCACACAGCGCACGGCGCATGGCGGACGGACACGCACGCGCACGCACGCGCGCACACAGCAAGATTGTGGCATGTCTGGTCTGTGCATCGCAGACGAACTTTGACAATGCAGGTACATAACTCTCCCATCCCTGAGTTATCTCACCACCCCGCAGCATGGTTTTTGTTAGCCAGTGCATACTGCAGGGCTCACTGACCCCCTGCGAAACTCAAAGGTCCTTTGCGGCATCAGCAGCGGACTAGTGTTCTACATCTAGTGACAACCAGTGCTGGACGATCTCAGTTCAACCAACATCAAGACTCTTTTGGAAACAGAGCTTCCACGCACACGTTCCTGGTCAAGCATACTTCTTCAAATCCAGAAACGTTCGACCATTAATTCTGCACCACGTGTGGCGACGTCTGTTTCTTGGGGCACGAGGGGTCTGAATCACACTCTCACACTCGGACGCAGAAGCGAGCGCCTTCCCCTCGAGAGGCCGTATTGGTGGATCCACCTTTCGACCTGTGGCAGGCAAGGCACGTGAACTAAACCGATTGACAAAGATCACGCGAGACCAGCTCCATGACTACCGGCTGCTACTGGCACAGATTGGCGAGAGGCTCGGAGGAGGAAGGAGGAGGAAAGCAAAAGGAGGTGGAGAAGCAACATGCTAACACCTGACGAGTGGGGCATACAAAGACAGCAACCACTTCGAGTGACCTCCGCCCTCCCAATGAAATGAACTGCTTCTTCCAAGTTCAGACCCATGAAAGCTCAAAACAAAAAGCAGTTCCACAGCAAAGCTTTGAGCGCAGATTGTTAAAGGGGGCTTGCATCAATGAAAACACACTCAGGTCAGGAGAAGGCTGTGGTTCAGGTCAGGAACAGGCCTGACGGGATTTGGGTCCGGCGAAAGCCATATTGCACAGGATGCCCTAAACCTAAACCCTAAACCCTAACTCATGAGGGGGAAGGAAGAGGCGCGCCCGAAGGCAACAAGATCTAGAGACCCCAACCTGACTGGCGCTAAAAACCAAGCATCTAGGCACAGAGCTTTCGTTTACGAGACTACGAAAAGTCCCAAAGCAGAAACGGGGAATATGTGGGCAAACCTTTGATACCTTTCTCAGAAAACCAAGCGCAGTAGAGATTTAAGCAGTGTACTGCGGCTTGTCTGTTTCCAGCTCGTGCTAGCTATAAGGCGCGACAGACGATTTCGGTTCTTCGTACATTTTACGGTTTCTGTGCTTCAAAACTGGAACATGCGAAAAAACATCGGAAGGGAATTCGTGGGGACTAGTACGGCGGTGGAAAAAGTCTCGGTTTTGGCAAAGCTCTCGTTACGCGGTAAGTCTAGTTTAACAAAAGCGGGCACTGTTGGGCTGGAACTGTCAAGGCAAAATCTGACGTACATACCCTGCACAGTCAGGCTTGGCATCAACCAATACAACCACGAACATGTCAAGACAAAACAATCGTTCTGCTGGCTTTGTACACTGCTCACGCACTCTAGTAATGAAGGAGCTGCAGTGCGAACAACCTTCAGAATCAACCATCGCAGCACTGAGCTATGAACAGTCTTGCAGCTTGTGGCATGTTGGCAGCATTGTGGCGCGCGGTTCTCGCGAAGCATTCCAGAACACATTCTGCATTTGGAGGGCTAAGTTTGTTCAACCCAGCAACGTTTTGGTACTCGATAAGCCCATCTTTTGATGCAGATACACTTGCTTTGGAACGTGGAGGTCATGTTGACATGAAACACGAAGGTGCTACCGACATGAAAGAAGACCGAAAAAGAAGGTTGGAGGCTTAAGGTACCCAAGAGCAACCGTAAGCTCCAGCATCTCGAATGCAAGCAAGGGTCACAGGAGCAAGGCAAAGTAGTCGTCTTGGTCATCTCCGATACCAAAATCCCACATGCTAACCGAGTGGCTGCCCGTGCCCTGGCGATATCTCTTCATGCATTGAACAAGACTGTTTGCCTACATGAGAGATCTCACGGCTGCTATCTGCTATCAAGTATAGGGAGATACCTACCGCGCACGCGCCGGACTGCTCAATAGCACTCTCTGCGAAGGCCTGGCTTTCATCGAAGGCATTGCTTTGTACCGACTGCTGGCGTTTCGGGTGCAGGTGGAAGAAAGCGTTGTCCTTGACCCCAAGAGCCCAAGAGGCTCAGATCTCAGCCGCGCCCCGTCACATTATCATACTTTGCAGTCCTGCCTTGATTTCCTGGAGCCCATTTGCTCCGCATCCGAGTCTTCGTCGTGGCCGGGGCTCAAGAAGTGATGCCTGGCAAACGGGCTGCAAGTGGCTGCAGCTTGCACTCCTCGCAGACTTTTTTCACACGCGCGGCAACACAGACTGGCGTGGCGATGAGGGATCGCCCGCAGGGTTCAAGATGTTGAGGAAGCGCTGGACTTCCAGCCAAGACTGCTCTGCACACCTGGCTTCGGTCAAAAGTCTGTCTGCTAAGGCCCGCAAGAATGTGCCGCAAGGCTTTGTTTGCTCTGAACCTCCCGGGGATTCTCAGCGTTCTCGCCGAATGGAAGATGTCCACAGAGAAGCCTGCAGGGAGAGGGGGTATCCAGGGACCTCTCTGCGTCAGAGCACAAGCCAAATTAGCTGGGTCCGCTCGTAGAGGACGATGCCCAATGCCCACACCTGACACCGAATCTTGTCAAGCATGCGCAGGGCCGCTTTCTGGTATCAGATCATGATCCCAGTCGGTGCTTGGGGCATCTTGGGGCCGGGCATCCACTTCCAAGCCATAGCCCTTGCCACGCATAACTTCGGGAGCCATGTAATGCGTTGTACCTAAGATGGCAATCAAACACATGAGATAGATGCAGCCAGTGATACTGCACACAACATGAAAACGACTTCCATCAAGACGGGACCCCCCATGGCCCCCCTTAGCCCCCCTCTTGGGACCCTGCCGACCAAGGTGAAGGTTCTGCCACATTTGGCTTCCAGCTTCTTGGAGGTGCCGAAGTCGACCAGCTTCAGGTAGCCCTGGACGGGAAGGCAGGGTGTGGTTGCTGTTTCATTCAGCTGCTGTTCTTTGGGGACTCAGCAGACTGCCACTTGAAAGTTTGCGGAAGTCCTCTGCATCGAGCAAGACATTCTCCGGCTTCAAGTCTCGATAGACCACGTTCCGCTCGTGCAGGGCTTCGAGCATCAGAAGCAGCGATCCCACACAAAACCTGAAGCTAAACGGGCAAGAACAACTCCCAAGAACACCTCCAGTGATGTAGCTGGAAATGTTCTCGATTTCATCTGTCTCAAAATCTGGGAAGTGCACATTGCTTGTTGACGGCTGAAAACGGTTGAGATTGACCGCATGGCCGCATAAAGCCTCAGAGGCTCTCTCGCTTGGTTCGTGTGTGTACATCCAGCGAGAGAGTCTAAAAACGAGGTTTGTAAGCTTTGGGAGCCAAAGCCACTCACCACCTCCGACATACTCGGCTAGGACGTATATGTAGGAGCGCGTCTCGATGGACTTCACCTCGAGCTCACTTCTCTGCCCTTCAACGTCCTTCAACACCCAACGGGCCGGTGTGAACCCTAGCATGCCAGGACCCGACCATTTGCATGAGAAATGGATGGTCATTTTCGGAGAGAATCTGGATCTCGCGCTGCACTTCCTGTGGTACCTCACTGGTGCGGCGCCTTGCGGCTCCTTCTCTAAGTTGTGTCTCGGCTCAATATCATGCCTTGCCATCAGTCTTCTTGACTCGTTTCAGAGCATATTTGAACTCTGTCTTCATGCTTGTCACCTTGCAACATGGGAAAGGCTTCTTGGGCAGCACCAGAAAACTCTCGGGCTGAGTAATTAAGGCAATGGCGAGCCAGACTGTGCCGGATGTGCCAGTCCCAACCTGCCCCAGCCTTTTCAAGTCTTGCAGCCTCATGGGATGTGGTGACAATCGCCCACAACTTGTTGCAAGAAGAAGCGCTGTGAAATATCCGGCACCGTATCGAGAATCCGGCCCCACTCCAGGATCTTGGAGGGACGCCCTCTGACGGAGCTGCTCAGACGCCCGGCTTTCTTTTCCAAGAACCTCTGACAAGCGGGGCTTACGGAAGCTCTCGAAGAAGCGCTCAATGAGAATAGCACACTGGCCCTTAGAGATTCCACGCTCCCTCTCTCACTCTGAGAAAGAGAAGGCTGTGGCGGCCTGGAGCAAGGTGTTTCGATCCCAGAACCATACTTCGCATTCAGCTGCCACCTCACAACATAAGGTGGGGAGTCGCATCGACGACAGATTCAGCTGCTAAAGGCCCTGCTAGGGAGCTGCTCGGCCCTGCTGAGGGAGCTGGCGACTTTGAAGGATGTGGACCAGGCTTCTGCAAACAGCACGCCGCGTTCGCCAAAACAACTTCCCTGCACCAGCCTGTGCAAGAAGGAGCGTCTTCTACTCACAAACGGCAGAAGGTCCTAGAATGTCCTAGACTTGTGCTGAAATACACTGAACATAGTGTGCTCAAACACATGGATTCTGTGTAACTCTGCCGAGCCTTCTCACAGTGCGACCATCCTTCACCATGTTAACCTTCAAACTCACAGGTAAGCGCAGAGGATGCACGCACAGAACTGCCTCACCAAAACCCGACTTGTCAGAATTAAGCCCACCGTGAATGCTGCACACTGCGACAAACTGACGGTCGACACCTCGCCGGCGGCAATGACATAAAAGTGAGAGGCTTTATCGCCTCGCCAGATCAATCTTGCCCAGCTCTGGGAAAAGCAGAGGTAGCGCCAGCATGATGGCATGCGGACCAGCGAGAACAAAATCACTGGAGCTGCTTCAGAGATACTTAGCCTTGGTGGACGATCTCCTCTCCGTTCCGGTACAGCTGGGTCTTGACGCACTGGAAAAGCACATCCAGCGTTGCCTTCTGAGCTTTCGCATGTGTGGAATACTGGCTGGAAGGTGCCCGCCGTGCGCCTCAGGGACTTGCCTGAAGATAGACACCTTGGGTGCCACCAAAATCGTTCAGGGTTCACGGCCTCTCATGGTTTTTGTTTGCCTCCATTCTGAGAAGGCCGCCCTCGACAGAACGTTGATCACTCTCGCTTTCATTCCACAAGCGTCATCTGCCCTTGCCGGCCAGCTTGAATAAACAAAAGCTTCCGAAGCTATCCGCGATTTCTGATCAACTGCAAGCTTCTTGTATGTTGCGCCACATCATGCCTCAGCGCGGGTAACACGGCGATGCGGCAGCCGGTGTGCCCAGCAACGAAATGGCAGTCATGAGCCTGGCATGATGCAAACATTCCTTTTCCGGCCTCTGCTTTTTGCGGCGTGCAGGACGAGTCTGAGAGCAGCACCGATCCGAGAATGCGGCGATCAGTCGTGCCTCTCACAAATCTGAAGAAAAAAAGGCGACAACCCGGCAGTTCGAGTAGGGACCAGATGAGGCTATAGGAACCGAGCATGGCTGGATAAAAAGGAGGTTACGGGGGGCACATGTTGTTCCAACGAGTTGCCGTGAATCACGACAATCCAGCTGGAGAAGTCCAGAGCTCTTACGGCGGGCATTAGAATTCAAATTTTTGAGGTTGTTGAGTTCTTGGGGGGCCTTTAAAATCACTGAAGCCACAAGCCATTTCGGACAATGAGGCCGCCTCTTTTCTGCAATCCGCCGAGGCCTCGGGCCGGAGGTGTATAGGTTGTCAGAACAGGCACCCCCCTCCAAATCCTCCCCCCAACCACTTTTCGGACCCTTTTTTTTGCCTCAAATGGGTACCCCCCCTGGGAAACCGGGGTCCGCAAGCGGACGGTTCGCCAGGACCAGAGGCAGTTGAAGCCCCTCCCAGGGGGCCCCCCCCCTTTTCCCCACCCCCCCCCCCCCCCCTCCCCCCCCCCACCCCCCCCCCCCCCCCCCCCCACCCCCCCCTACCTCGCCCCCCGGTTTTGGAGGCTCAACTGGTGTGAGACGGCCCAGCCGAAGAGCCTTTCCCTCTGCCCCCCTTCCCCCCACCCCTACCCCCGAGGGGCCTGGCTCAACCCTACGATCAATCCAAGCCGAACCGTCTCTTGAACCCTAAACCCAAAAAGACCCTAAACCCCAAAGCATGAACCTTGAGCCCTAAGCCCTCAATCCTAAACTAACCCTCAACCCTAAACCCCAAACCATAAACCATAAACCCGGAACCCTAAACCCTAAACCCAACCCTTATTGCTTGGGTCCAGCGACTTGGGCGCTGCGGAATCACCATGCTCACGCGGATGCGCTGGGCCGGGCCGAGGCGGGTCGCGTAGCGTTAAAATTAGCTTTTGAAGACGGCACAACACTCTTCGCTGGAATCCTTTTTTTGCGAGAGCTTCTGGTCCTGAAGCCCTGAGCTGGAGACTGGCGATGGACGAAACGCGGATTATTAAGGGCTGGGCAATCCCCTACCAGTAGCTGTGGCTGTACACATGTGGCCTTAACGAGCCGACCGACCACCCGACAGGCCGACCGAATGACCGCCCCTTGTGCAGAAGAGAAACACAACCGTGGCAAAAACGAAAATGTCAGGACCAGGGCAAGGAAAACAACACCGGACGCAAAGTAGTGTGGAACGTACTGCCCGAATTTTCTAGGCCAAGGCATAGGCCTTGATGAGGGACAGTGCCCTCAGAAGCATGTCCAACTATTCTTGATGTGCTTGGTGAGTTTGGTGCCTCCTGTAACCATGCAGGCTGCAGGTGGAGCTTCCACCACCCCTGCACGAAGGATCCGGGCAGCAGGACGCTGACCCACCTCACAACCCCAGGTGTTAGCTTGCATGTCATGATGATTTTCAGATAAGTCGTGTCAACGGACTCAGAAGATGTCAAGGGATGACCTCAGAATTCTAAGAGGCCTGAACCTCCCCGTCCAAAACCACGAAGAGGCCAATGGATGGTGGTATCTTCGCACCTGCCCGTCATCTGAACCGTGTATCACGCTCGATGCTTCCACGTCTTTCGGCACTGCAGGCCTGGCAAATACTCGCTCAACTCAAAGGACTTGGCGACTTGGGCCACGAGCGAGTGACTCTGGTCCTGAGTGAGCTGCGCGCAAGACATTTCAGGCCACTGAGGTCAGCAAATGTCTCAGACCCAGTGAGGCCAAAGCTGCAAACACTGACGATGAGAGCAAGCTCGACCTGAGGCCATAAAAAATCTCTGGTGTCGAGATTTCAACTCAAACTTAAGGTGCTGACTATTCATGCATGGCTTGAGCAGGGCGTTTTTGAGAGGGCTGTTTCTAAGGTGAGTGCAGTAAGCTGCGCTGCTGCAACTTGATGGAAGCTTCTTGCTTGCCCAACAGCTGCCGCAATTTCCGCGCCTGGCAGTCGTGACAAAACGTCTCTGACTCCGCTCCGGACTTTCACCTATGCAGCTATACTTTGGAACATGCAAGTTCTGACGTTGACGAAAACGAGTTCGCATCGTTTTGTGACCTCCAGGTCGACCTGCGCAAGATAAGTCTGACTGCGTGCCGACGCTTGCAAACCGGGCGCCAGGCAGATGAGGAGTCTCCATACAATAGCAGGCGCTCACCTGCTGAAGGAAATCAGTCACAGCAACCGCAAGCTTGGAGCACGATGTGTAGAGACAACGAGGGCGGACCAACGCAATGTCCGCTTTCCAGAAGGTCCTTCCACATGAGATCTGTTTTGGATTATGGCCGTTCTGGACAGACGTACTGACACAAGAGATGCAGCCAGTCAGCAGACAAAGTTTCTGGCATACTCGGCCTGGTGAGATATATCCTAGCCTATCTCAAGAGCCCGCTGCTCCTTTTGGCCACGCGAACTCGAGGACTTCAGCTGCCCTGACATGACGAAGAACGCGTGGTTCAGCCTTGGAAGCAGCGTGCAGCTCGTAACACTTGCAACAATGTAAAAATATGCTCTCTTCTGCTGGCACTTAGGACACTGGGGAGCCCAACTCGACGCCACTCTGCAACGGCTTGTCACCCGGAACGTAGGATCTGACATAGGACCTGGGCACTCATGGGCACTCCTTGCAGCGCACAAGAAGATCACAAGAAGAGGACGGGTTTAGGGTTTAGGGTTTAAGCTTAGGGTTTAGGGTTTAGGGCCAGTTTAGGGTTTGGGGTTTAGGGTTTAGGGAACAATACACGATTTCTTCTAAAACAGCTTGTGAAGGTCGCGGCATGTCGGACACGCAGTCCAGCTCCCGAGCAGACAGGCTTTGCAGGAGGGGCACCTTGCAACGAATTCCATGATCTACATTCGGAGATACTGGGATCACTGCGCCTCTTCCAGAAAAGTCCTAACATCGGACACCTGCAGTGCAGGCGTGTACGTGAGATGTATGCAGTGCACAATGCAGATCGCCTGCCGCTTCACCGCGGACAGAATGGCCTGAACGAAGGTGGAGCCAGTGGAGCCAACGAACATTTATATTAGATGTTCTCACATTAAACTGTATTATATTATATTAGATGGCAAAGGCAGGACAAAGCAAAGAAGCACCAAAAGCAAACCGTCGTATACAGCGGCGCCTGCCGGAAGAGATCGCTGGCAGCTGCCCAGACTCCCACCCGTCGGGTCGCTACCACTGAACACGTGTGAGGGCACCTTAGCAACGAATAGCAACGAAAGGTGCAAGGGTGCTGATGCCTAGTGAGGTCCTGGCTTGTGCAGTAATGAGAGCTCGCCGAAGGTTTGTCCAGCAGATAGGCTACTGACCTCACGGCTGATTCTGGCGGCCTCTGACATATCTAACCGTGGCAGTCTGAGCAGCTCGCAACAACCCCACGAAGCACCACTTCCAAGCCGGTCCCGTGCGCAAGGTAGAAATACCTTGAGAAACCCGCGCGAGTGGATGCGAGCGGACTGTGAAACATGGGAAACCATCGTAGAACACAGCATGTTGTACGATATTGTACCTTGTGGCACTTGCAGTAGAGGTGCGAGCCCACGGAGCCTTCACTTATGACTTTATCGCCCGCATAGACTTCGTGGTACTCGAGCACGTCCTGTGAATCTCACAGTTCCAGGAGGTTGCACATCTTGACCATACGGCAGCTGGAGAGTTAGGCAGTGCTACCCCGGGCTGTGCACAAGGCAGTCCGCGAGCTGCTTGATCGTATCGCCATCAACTTGCCGCAAGAGGCTGCTCGCACCTAGCGACTCGGAAAGCCAATGAAAACATGATTCTTGGTTGTTAAGCAGGTGTTTTCAAGACTCTGCCATTTCAACACCTGTGACTGCGGCCGTCTGGTATTCCTCCTCAGCTTCCAGCCGAGAGGCGTCTAGAACAAGCAGACCAGGGTCTGGTCTCCTTCCCCTCCTTCCCCTCCTTCCCAACCCTTCAACCCTCAACCCTCAACCCCCCTAAACCCCCCCTAAACCCCCTAAACCCCCCTAAACCCTAAACCCTAAACCCCCCCCCTGTGAAACCTGCCCAAACCGCTTTGAGGAGCCGAAATCCGATGCGGCGGGGTTCCAGGCTGGGGGCTCCTCCCACAGAGACCACGCCAAAAAACACGAACTTCTGGCAACCCAAAATAGGTATATGCATATGTATATATATATATACACACACATACCTGCAATAGATGATTGCTAACAGTATTCCCGTTTGCGGGGCACACATATTATGGTGATTGTTGAAATGATTCACTGGGTACTAACGACAAGATATCCGATCGAAGTTTTCTCGTTTCTCCGGAGCTTTCACGAAATGGATTGATTGTATACGTCTCCGATGTTCTTCCCTTCTTCTGGGACGAGCCATGCAAATACAGACGTTAAGCAGGCGTACTTTATGCAACAAGCATATTTTCTTGGACTAGGTCTGTCCACCAGGTAGGGACGAAACGTAGAGATTTACATTTCCACAGGAGGCGAGCATAACAAAAACGCATCTCCTTCGGGGGAGTTAAATTCTGACTCACAGATGACAAATCGCAACCCCAAGACTAACCAAAGAGCCTTCATCGAGTCATGCGGATACCTGATGGATACTTGCAAGAATACACGTCCATAGGGAAATGCGCTATACACCAGGTTTCCTTGGAGGGGGCGCGTCTAAACTGCCTTTGAAAGTTGGCTTTATCGTTCGCTTTTCCCGTCCCTCCGGCTCGCTCTCTCGTTTCTTCTTCTACCCAGCGAAGAGGCCTTTTTTGGTGGGAGAACACCGGCCACGACGGCACACTGCTCGTTCTCTCTCTTCCTTCCTTCCCTTCTTCTTCTTCTTCTGAGGGGCATGAAGGCCAGGGAAGGTCACCCTGACCAACGCGCACTGGGCGCGCCTGGATCGTCACTGCGTGGGCATGAGACTGAGTGAAAAACGAAGAAACTCATTCTGACTTCCTTCCCTCTCTCGTTTTGCTTCATTTCCTTCTCTTCCTTTCTTCACTCTCCCTTTTCTGATGCCCAGGCCATGTCCCTTTTCTCCTCGCCTTTCCCGTTTTTGCATGTATCAATCCAAAGGGAAATGGAATAAGGACAAGGATAACTCTATCAGTACCAGCCACCATGGTCGCGGGAGGGGGGACGGGGGGGGAGACGGCGTATTTACAGCACCTGCCTGCTTGCCTTGGCCGACATTTCATGGCGTTCTGCATACAACAGACTGAGTACGAGGCGGAGTGCGGCAGTGAGGAAGACCGTGTCACTGTGTGTCTTTGCACGTGGCTGGCGTCTTCCCTGCAACACCTTTGCGTAAGCTGCATTCAATGGCATGTGGGTCAAGCCCTCCTGACCCAAGTCTTGGGAACAGGCATCCTCATCGGTTACTTTTGAGCTGGAGGGCCGTGAGGGTGCCGACCGCTCGTTCGCGCCATCATACCTCAGGGAGGTGACATGAGGTATGACCTCTCGACGGCTTTGTGACAGCAATGGCGAGGCCTGGTGTACCCCGTAAAGTCGAACTCACCCGGAATGCCGGGACCGCAAGCGCACCTGAACTGACGCAGCCATCAACTCGCTGCCGGAAATAGCGTTTGTGATCGACACCAGCCTGGACAGAGCCGAGATCTGATGGCCCATTCAGGATTACCTGGACAGTCACACGACATACCAAACGTGTAATTTCTTCAAGTGGCCACATACCGAAGCAGTCAGCTTCAATACGCATTGCAGTCACAGAGGCTGGCGCCAACCTCTGGCAGAGCTGTTGGCGAAGGCTGGTTGAAGGCCATGGCTAGGGGAGAATGCCACGGCAACATCACCTACTTCAGACTTCTCACATTTCAGTTCCTCAGCTTCTGTGATCTGTTGTGCGCCTTCTTACGGAGGATTCAAGGCACGCACTGTGTTTGTGCTGCTATGTGGGTGGCCGTAGGGTCACATCACATCCCTACACCCAGACCCAGTGTATGTCGGCTGTGGCGACAGTCATGCTTGAGACGTAAGAAGAAGCATGTGCGCGGGAAGCAGCAACTGACGCAAACGGATACTGTAGATGGCCAGCTGCCAACCACTTATTTGCTTGACAAAGTCCTGCTGGTTCGCAACCCAGAGCTGCGCGAATTCAAAGAGCCGCCTGTCAATGTGAGAGATGGCCCTGGAGCAAGAAGCGCAGAGCGCAGCACACCGCTGCACATCGCAGCACGGTCGCTGTCATCCTGCTTGAAGCATGCCAGGTGTACGGAACACCAAGTTGATCAGCAAAGCACATGAGGTCGACAGAATTCGACCTGACAAGCGTGACATTGGCTACAAGCTGCTGAAGCGTCCAACTGTTTCTTCTTGCAGGCCGCACATGTCAAATGTAAAGGCAGCATCTCGCATTTTCCAACATTGCGCAATGACCTTTCTACCAGAGCAAGTTTCAGCTCGATGGATCACCTCCGCAAGGTCTTTGGCTGAGGCAGGATCGCTCCATCGGCCGCTCTGCAGAAAGGACGCAAATTATTCGCGGCTGCCGAAAACGCGGCTTGTCGCCAGCTACAGCAATCCGATGAGGCGCCACCAAACAGCACCTCGTTCACCAAGGGCAAGGAACACTTCGGCCACAACAGCTTAGGTTTTTGCCCTGTCGCATGCGAGGAGGTCGGGGGCGGCGGGGTTTCTGAGCAGCTGTCATGACTGAGTTTCTGGCCAACACTCAACCACTGAATATAGTAGGCCACCATGTAAACCAAGCCGGCCTGACAAAGGAGCATGCAAGGCAACAGACCATAGTCGTCAGGCAACAAGGCCACGTGTCCGGAGTAGGGCTGTCTGCGCCTTGTACCACTCATTTGCCTGGATGTATTGGCCAGCGAAGATCACCGCAGATTGCGCAGACGCCTATAGGAATCGCAGTCAGACGTCTCCAGGCAAGGGGCAGTGTCTTTGGCAGCTTAGCACCCAGCATACGGCGTCAGGGTTGCAAAAAGATTGGAGGCAAAAGCGAGGGCGAAGAACGCTGCGTCTGGGGGAGTTCCTGTCTGCACCTGGGCCAGTGACAGTTTCTTGTCCGCAGGGCCATCCCAAGCCCGAATATGCTTAATCTACAGGAGTAAGCATTCGGCCAGCATGACGAGAAAGGGCTGAAAAAGCGCGGATACATGTGCCACCTGCGCGAACAAGACACACTCACTCACAATCACTTCTACAAGGCTGAATCTCTGGACAGCCCTTGCGTGCCCACTGAATCTTGTTCTGCAAACCCTGTTCTCTTGCCGAAGTAGTGAGCACCAGGCTGAACGGAGATGTGAACAGCAAATCCGGAACCTCTGAATGAATTTCCTCTCTAGCCGGTCGAAAGTTGCCAAGTGTGAGGGCCACCATAGAACCATGACCGAAAGCTGCCGGCATCACACTTTCTGGTTCTTAATCGGTGCAGAGACCGAAAGGGTTGGGCGGGGTGTTGCCTTGCAGCCTGCTGCATCACAGACCCTTGCACAACCGACTGCTTTTAACATTGGTCGCAAGGACGCTCCTTTGCGAAGTGTTCCCGATTTAGGAGCATCAAACCAAGAGAGCAAATGGTCCCCTCGTGACCTTACTCCGTCAGTCGTAGCAGGCTACGCCCCTCTGGGGCATCAGGATGGGATCCCTAGCAACCCAGCCTGAGAAGCGAATAGATAATGAACGGCCCAGTACGCTGCAACGATGATGAGGAAGGCATTTACCTGCTTGGAGCGGCAACCTCTGGGCAACCTGCTGCCTTGTGCTCTGCCACACAAGTGAGGCCTGAGACAGCCCGGCAGCTTCGATGTGCGATGTCACGACAGAAGACGACCACCTGAACACCCAGCAGCATTCACCTCAACCATATTAATTAATATACCTCATGTACCACAAGCAAGCTTCGCCGAACTAAGGGCAGCACTCCACAACGCCCAGACTTTTCAGCATCTCTGCCAGACCTAACTCATCGCATGTTCACTCGCACCTGTTTGCTCGAAATGGCAAGCTTCCACACCAAGTAAGTGGCCAGCCAACCAAACATGCGAAGGACACAAATGTGCTCCATGCTGCCTTGTTGCTGGCACAATCCTGCCGCAAAACTCAGACTCTGTCGAAACTGTGCGGATGGGCTTCAGAGACTGTCATACACATTTTTAACTAGACACTGGGGTGTTGAAATACCCGCGCTTCAGTACTCTTGCTGCTCCCCCTGAATAATCTTAAACATAAAAATTCTGCTGCCGCTTGCCTGGACAAAATGCAAAGTAAAGTGAAGGGCGCTCCCGCACAAGAGATGAACTTTGCAAATGACTGCGGTGTCTCTACCGTCTTCCTCCGAGCCGGACGCCTTGGACACAGAACACCATATTGCCTTGCGAAAACGTACGAAACCTGTCAAAACACATG